TATTAGAGTCTATGTTTTAGTAATGACAACATACTACTACTGTAGAGTTCTGTTATTCGTGAGGAATATTTTACAAGATCCTGAGTAAAAACCCTGAGACCAAGGGTAGAACTGAGTACCATATATACTGAACTGTTTTCTCCCACTATATATACATACGTAGAAATCATAAAGTTTAGTTTATAAATTAGACAAATATATTAACAATAATAAAATAAGGCATTTATAACTATCATACTGTTGAAGGTTTATAAGTTGGCCTTTGTTAAGTAAAATACAGGTTACTTGAAAACATGCACTGTGATAGTAACTCACTAGATTTGATAACTGAGAGAGCAAAGTGACTAATGGCTGGGTATTGTATATGCACCACAATTACTGTGGGATGCCTCATGTAATAGGTGGGATGAGGTGCGATAGCAGGTCATTTCATCCTGCTACTCCAAATGGCGCACAGTTTTAAACTAAAAAATATTTATTTTTCGTGTCATCCCTTGAATATTTTTGGAGAATGGTTGATCAGGGTTAAGTGAAGGTGCAGAAAGTTAAACTGTGGATAAAGGGGAACTGCTATCTAGATTTGAACACTAGTATGTTGGTTCTGTTTTAATATATGTTGTTTACTCTGTGAATGTGACTGCTCAGTTTTCAGTAAGGAAAAACAAGCTGTTGCTGCTGGGTAGGTCCCCTCAAAAGAAAAATAGTGATTGTGAGATGATGTAAAATGCATGCTTCTGCTTTATTTTCTAAAGCTGTTATAAGGGCAGTTCTTCTGTAGTAGTTGTAACGAATTAGTACATGTAAAAAGACCTCAAAGTTTTCTTTGAAAACTAGGTGAGAGCTCCACCTTGTGATCTTTGAGCATATTTTTTAAAAAAATTAATAACCCGAAGTAGCCCAGAAACGACATGGGGATTTTTTTGCATTTGAAACTCATGCTTTTATTTGAGTATTACTTATTATAGTTTTAGGCTTCTCAGTTTAGGTCAGTTGGTTTTAAGCACTTTGAAGGCAAGAATTTCATGGTGTCCCAGTGAGGGAGCAGATTAAATGCAATTATAGATATTTAAAATAAAAATGATACATTTTCAGCACTTTATATAGATTAAAGTTTATATTCTTTAAGAATTCCCAGTGATGCAGTCCTGTAATACCAGAACTGTAGGAGGCAGAGGCAGGAGGGTCTTAAGTTTCAGTGCACCTTGGGCAAATTAGTGTAAGAACTTGTCTCAAAAAAAAAATTGTGTCTGGGATATAGATCAGTATGAAAGCCCTGAGTTCAATCAACAGTACTGCATGCCACACACACAACGAAACCCAATGTCAGCTTAAACATTGTTTTACCACCTTGCTTTTAAATTACAAGGTAGCCTTAATATTTATCATTTTTATTGTTGTGATACACTATTTTAGTAGCAGCTTAGTTATTTGATGATTAAAATAGTAAAAATTCACAATATACATGCATATTACTTTTTGCATTTAATAATACTAGGTGTCCCTAGAGGTGTCTTCTAATGGAGTCAATGTTTTCATGTTTTTTTTTAATATAGGCAGTTACATAAGGTCAAGGATCACTGCTCTATTGTTTCATTTACTAGGTTTCCAGTGCCTAGCACTGTGCTTGACACATGGTCGTCGATACTTTAATGGGTTGGGTGAATTTTTAGAATAGAAAGTTGTCTAGCTCAAGATATTTTACTCTGTGTCAGACCCTCATATAATATGTTTTGAGAGATTCCCATCCCAGATTTTGCTTTTGTGTTTGCCTTGGTTCTTAATGATCAATTTCCTAGGTAGGTATAGTGGCATATGCCTGTAATCCTAGCACTTGGGAAGCTGAGGCAGGAGGATTGCCACAAGTTCAAGACCAAGCCTGAACCATATAGCAAGAACTTATCTTAGAAACAAAACAAAACAACAACAATTATACCCTATTGTCAAATTCCCGTTAGTACAAGTAGGATGTTCATTATCTTAATAGTTCAGATTTTGAAAGTTTTTGTACTTTATCTTAGCCAAAAGGTCAAGAAGTGATTAATTTTTGGAGTTTTTTGGAGTTTAGCATACTTGTGTGGACTTTATTGGTTAAGTGCTCCTGTTCTGAAATTGAAGTGCTCCAAAATTTGAAACTTTTAGGCATTGTGTTGGTGCTCAGAAAGTTTTAGATATCAGGGAATTTTGGGTTTGAGTATTAGGGATGTTTAATCTGTGTAGTCTGTGCTATGCAAAATAAATTAACTAGATAGACTCCTTATACACTAAAAATTAATTCTATGATATTTAGGGGAATGTAGTATGTTACATAATATTTAGTGCTTTCTGCTTTTCAGAGCTGGTACACTTTTTACATTCTTCACTGGTGATTCCTTAATACACTATATTTATTAAACATCTTTTGTTTTCATTGTTTATTTGGCATAGAGTCTCACTATGTATGTTCAGGCTGGCTAGTGCATAGCGCAGGCTGGCTTTGAACTCAAGGCAGTCTCCCTGCCTCAGCCCCCTGAGTTCTGTGGTTACAGGTGTGTGTCACCATACCCACACTATGAGATCTTCAAAGTCTGCTGAAAAGCTGTGTTGCAAGAAAACAGTAAGTTTAGCTGAGATTTTTTTGGGGGGGGTGGTGGCTGCTGGGGATGAAACCCCAGCTAAACCCATGTGTTGTCACCGAGCTATACCCGCTAGCCCTTGCAAATTTGGTTTTTGTGAATTGTTTAGGGAGGTAAACAGAAACAGTGGCACTCACATGACCATATTTTATTTCCATATGCTATTTGGATGACTATATCTATGATCTGTGCCTTCCAGCTCTCTTTTAAAAACAAAATGACTTATAAAATCTGTTAGGATTTTAGGAGACAAGTATCCTTTATATGATAAGCCTCAGAACTCTTGTATATTACTTATATGTTGCTTAAGTTATAAAAATAAAGACAGTGTAAGATTTAGTAGTCTTGGAGGGAAACAATCCTGTGACAGTAATTTAGGGCAAGGAGACAAACATAGCAACAGTTATATCTAAATATTTTACAGTGTGAGTACCTGTCAGAAAAAAAGGATAAATTCAAATTGGTAATGTATGTAATTCTTGATTATCCAGGGTTTAACTTATGGATTATTCATTTTTATTTTCTCCCATTACATCCTTGGTTACTTTGCTATTTGTAGGTGTTTTTGTGTACCGAGAATTGAACTTAGGGCCTGGCACTTGCTGGGCAGGCACTTGTGCCACTGCGGTATATTCTTGGCCCTCATGAAGTATTTTTATAAGCAAAAAGTTATTTTTGTTTTATCTTTAGTAAGCCAAGGAATGTACTCACTGTTTTGAACCTTACTATGTTTAATTGTATGTGTGTGTCTGTCTCTTTTTTTTTCTTTTCTCTTCTCTTTCTCTTTCTCTCTTTCTTTCTTTCTGAGACAGGGTCTCACTATGCAGTTCAGGCTGGCCTTAGGCTCACTTTGTAGCCCATGCTGGTCTTGAATTCGCAGTGATCCTCCTGTCTCAGTCTCCCAAGTGCTGGGATTATGGGAGTGTGCCACCACACCAGGCTCTAGTGACCATTTCTGATGTGTTAAAATACATCTAAAGAGATTTAAAATTAATGAAAAAATTGAACACATCTCTTTCTCTCTCCCTTCTTCCTTTCCTTTTCATCCATTTTGCTGGGGGTGGAACACAGGGTCTTTGTACTGAGCTATATCCCCAGCTCTTTTTATTTTGCACTGTGAGAAAGGGTCTCACTGAGCTCCCCAGGGCAGACCTAAATTTGAGATTCTCTTGCCTCACCCTACAAAGTGCTGGAATTTCACACATACACCGTCATGCTCAAGGCTTGAATCATTGTTTTCTTGTATGATGTCCTCTCTTGGCTGATATAATCAGATTTCATCAGTATGTTATATTTTAGCATTTATTCTTACTTGCTTCCCTCTCTGCTCCTCTCCCCTCCCTTCCTCCTCCTCTTTTTCTCTCGCTCTTCTTTCTCTTCTTCTCTTTCTCTTTCTCTTTCTTTTTCTCTTTGAGACAGAATTTCATCACACAGTTCAGGCTGGCCTCAAACTTGCAGAGATACTCCTGCTTCAGCCTCCCAAGTGCTGGGATTACAGACTACTTTTTTTCTTTAGGTGGCTGCCAAGTGGTATACTAGACTTTTTTGGGGACTTAAAAAATACACATAAGACAGAAAATTATAGTCTGATGTGGTGACATGTGACATGCCTATAGAACTAGCACTTGGGAGGCTGAGGTAGGAAGATAGCAAGTTTTAGGTCAGATTGGGCTATATAACAAGTCCAGGCCAGCCTGGACTACATAGTGAGGCCCCTTCCATTTCTTTAAAAGTAGCTTCAAACCTTAGCTTTGTGTTTCCATTTTGTTATAAACTGGTCATTTGGTTTTAATTTATTATTCTCTCATTTAGTAAATGTATCTTTGACCTTTAGGGTTAGAAATACCTTTTGTGTGGATAGATCTGCAATCACTTGTTCACAAGTAGCATTATACTGTCCACGTTACTCTCCCTGTATGCTGGGACTAGAGCCCAGAGCTTCATACATGCTAAGCAACATATGACATTATTTGTGTTAAAATTAATGGTAAGTTCCTGGAGGGGAGTAGATCAGGTCTAACTTTTTTCCTTTTAACACAGCGTGCTATTATTATGAAGGGGTTGATTATTACTCCTCAAGGATAGAACAACCTGTTTTTAACATATTTAAAATTATATCTTGTTTTTATTAGCTCCTTTTAACCATATCTGCAGACCATCAGCAAAAAACTATACATTTTCAGACATTTCCGCTTTTGGGGTATTATTATTATTGTAGAACTGTAAGAGATCTAACAAATGTATGTCTAGAGAAACAATCAAATGCAAGAGGAAGAACTCCTTATTTACTAAAATGTATTAATAGATACTGGAAAATTAGGCCTTAGTGTGTGGATGTTCCTTTGCAATGTTTTTGATATGTCAACATGTCGTTTTCTCTTTTTAAAGGAATTGTCTTTCTTAGAAGAAAGAAACAATATACCATTTTACTCACGTAAATATATGAGTATATTTCTGATATTGGAGTGTTCCAGAAGATGATAAAGAAATGATAGCAGCTCCAGAAATACCAACTGATTTTAATCTACTACAGTAAGTAATTTATATTGTGGTAAATTTTACCTTTTTTGCTACAAAATGGAAATTAGTAGCTACTTAAATTTATTTCTGTTTGAGAAAATCTAATATGTATAATAGTATGTATTTTTTGAAGCAGTTTTTCAATGTTGATTAGGCTTTGTAGCAGTTAATATTCCATATTATTTTGTGGTATGATTTTTGTATAGTGTGTAATTTATTATTTTTTGATGAGTCATTTAAAATCTATTCTTGCTTTTTAATAGTATTTTTTGAGGGTGCACCATGAAATTCTTAAAAATTAAATGTTCCCATTAGTGGAGAATATATACCATGCATCAATGTTCAGGATATAATGACAGATTTCTGTTACTAAACCAAATGATGATAGGATAAAACAATTCTGTCTAGGACAGTAAGATACACAGTCCATAACTTCTACAAATACATACTGGTCAACAAAGTGATTTCATCATAGATATGATTTTTACTCCTGTCTTGAAAGCTATCTGCATTCCTTAACTTTTATTCTGTTTATTTCTTAGATTGTAATGTACTAAGGAATTTGAACTATTATATCTATGTAACAGTAGTTTTCATACTAAACCCAAGTTTTGTGAGGTGCCTCAGTAGAAAGCGGTCCTTTAGGGGCTGGGGATTTAGCTCAGTGGCATAAGCGCCTGCCTTGCAAGCATGTGGTTGTGAGTTCGATCCCTGGTACCGGTTTAAAAAAAAAAAAGTGGTACTTTAAACTGTCTACAGATACATTTAATTTTATTAACACTCACTCACTCACTGAAATATGTATACATTTTGTTGTTAGGTTCTTTTTGAAACTTTATTTGAAAAGTTTAGTTGCTAAAAATTTTGAGCATCATAGATAGACTGTACATAATGACAATCAGTGTCAGTTTCAAATGGCATGGAAATTTTCATATTTTTAATAATTTTGGAGTTTGAGTCTACTGAGGTATTATCAATATTCAAAAATATATATGTATATATTATAAGAATTGAACTCAGAGCCCCAGGTATGGTATGGAAATGTGTTCTACCATTGAGCCCCATTTTTAACCTTCAAAGTATAATTTTCTTAATGTGATTCCCATGCTAGTGTATGTGTATTTTTTTAGTTTGTTTTTGCTGGTGTTACTGGAGATTGAAACCAAGGCCTTTTGTTATTTACATATAAATAATGCAGGTTGCTTATTACTGTTTTATTATAGCCCCAGCCCTTTTATTAATTTTCAAATTTTGAAACTGCTTCTTGCTAAATTGCCCAGGATGGGCTCTGGGGTTTCCATCCTTCTGCCTTAACCTCCCAGAGTACTGAGTTTACAGACTTGTCTCCATCATACCTGGTTCTTTTTTAAGCTTCTTGAGGAAATTTGTTTTTCTTTTCATTTGAGTACATATGATAACTGAGAATGAAATTAAACTTTGGCTTAGTTAGTCTAAAAGTATCCAAGACTACATGCCAGGAGATAGCTCAGTGGCATGGCACCTATCTGGCAAGTGCAAGGTACTGAGTTTGATTCCTGGTACTAAGAATAAAAAATAAAAATAAAATTATCCAAGACATTGTTTTCCCAAAGTAGCACTTTTGGTAAGAATTGCACGTATTCCAAGTCTTTGTAAATTTGAGTATTACCTTTGATAAAATACCAAGTGTCTCCTGTATATAAGATGCTGTATTGACTCTGTGAGAAATTAAATTAGATCTTTCTGCCTTTATGAGCTCTTACTTTATTTTGTCTTACTTATTTCTTTGTAGCATTGGCAATCAAAACCAATGATGCTCTACTACTGAGCAACACCCTCGCTCTTTTTATTTATTGTGAAACAGTGTCTTGCTGGATTGTCCAAGCTGGCCTTGAACCAGTCATCCTCCTGTCTTAGTCTCCTGAGTATCTGAAATAAGCTCATATTTTAAGAGAAGATAATACATTTCTTTACTGTATTGAGATTATATACTATTAAAAAGCTCACATCATAGATTAGATTAACTTACAATATCTTGATTAATTAGGAACTGAAATAAGATAGTAGATAAAAGAGAATTGATGTTCTGGGGTAGAATAAATCTAGAATTTGGCTAAGAATATGGAATTGGTAAGGGTAGTTAAGACTTATGGCAGTACTTTTTTCTGACTGAGAGTTATTTTATAGCTTTGTTCTGATTTTTCACTTCAGTTTTTTTCCCCAGAAGGTTTTAGAGTTAGTAATCAAACTTAGTACCTCATTTTTGTAGTTGGGATAGCCTAGAGATTTAAGAGTATAACTGAGGCTTTGATTACCTTGTGGCCCTTGGAATATCATGAAAATTGGTGACTATTCACAAATTTGTAACAGTTACTGGGCTAAGTGACTGGGTATGATACAAGTGTTTTGGGAAGGTCAAAATATTTATGCACCAAGATTTTTTTATTGTTAATTCATTTTTTATTTTAAAGAAAAAAATGACACAAAATTTCAAAACAAGATCATAGGAGAGTAACAATGGTTAGTATATTGTGTATTATCTTCAAAGTAGTTGCTCATATTACAAGATCCAGGCATGAAAACTTGATCTAACAATATAGATGCAAACCTTTTCAATGAACTAATAGCAATGAGTAGTGTAACTATCTTATTAATTATTTTGTGTATTTAGTTTTCCTTTTCCATTCTTTCTTTTCTCCTTTCCCCATCTCACTATCTTTTCTTTTTAACAGTTTCTCCCATTTCACAATATCTGTTGTACATTTTGGTTCTTACTTTTTTAGGGGCTGGGAATTTAGCTCAGTGGTTCAGCACCTGCATGGCAAGTTTGAGACCCTCAGTTTGATTCCTGGTAACCAAAAAGAAAAAAAAAAAAAAAAAGAAAAAAGAAGCAAACAACTATTGCTCATTGCTCACAAATGTACTGCCTTCCAACACCATCCCACCAAGACATTTAAAAGCATTTGAAATTTTTTTTTGGCTAGTTTATATAGACACATGAGAAGAATATTGATACCAAGACTTTTTAAAATGTAGCAGGCATAAATTTCAGTGCATAAACTCTGAGAAATGGTATTTATTACAAGCTTTTTCCTCATCATGATAGGACATAGTTAGGATTCCCACTATCTTCAGTAGTGTTTAAATTATTTTGTAGGTAAGTGCTATAACTAGTAATTTTTTCCTGCCAACATCACAACCATTACTTTCCATTTATGAAGTATTTGTATTTCACAGCCTCTGGACAACTGGTGTTATTGTGGCAATAAGAAATCTAGATTGACAAAACTAGCTTTATAAAGATAGCTATTCCATTGGATTCCATTTATTTTAAGCAAAAGTGGAATTATGTTTACATATTTGGTGGGGTAAAATATTTGTCCATTATGGATGATGCCCAATTCTAAAACCCAGTGTGACTCAAATACCAATGTAAGTAGACCATGCTTTTAAGTGTTTAAGTGTGGCTATGTTACTATTTAGATACACCCATGTTTATACATGTGGAAAAGATCACACATATTTATTTAAATCACTGTTTCCTTATGTCTGAGAAAATCAAAATTATACAAAGGTTCAATATATTTTTTTTTTGGTACCAGGGATCAAACTAATGACCTCACACTTGCCAGACAGGTGCTTACACCACTGAGGTAAATTCCTGGCTCAAAGATTCAATTTTTACAAATAAAGATTTACACTTTGTGTTTTAGAGATTTTATTATTACTGATGTTTACACATTATATATGAGCACACTGAGATACATTCACTTGCACAAGATGAGTTATTTAGTGCTAAAACTGGTTGTTCCTCTTTACTACCACTTAAAGGAGTTTATCTGTATTTAACACACTTTTTCAAATGATGCATAGTTTCTTAAAATGTTGTATACATACCCTTTCAGAAATGCATGTTTCATATAGTGATTCACACATAAATTTCTAAATGATTTTTGAGTGAGGTAGGAGAGGTCAGCAGATGAATAATAGTTCTAAAATTCTCTAAAAAATATCCAATTCTGAGTGTTACAATTATTTCCATTAAGTGCAGTGTCTTTGCTGTTACATTTTGGGAAAGCATTTAATTTTAATGCTACTATTAAGTTTTATAGTAAGTTAACCTGCCATTTTAGAAAATGTTTCATAAATAAAAAACTCTGTCTTACGTTTCTAAGGATGGTCTTAAAGGTTTGCTCATTTTTTTTCAGGGAGTCAGAAACGCATTTTTCTTCTGACACAGATTTTGAGGACATTGAAGGAAAAAACCAAAAGCAAGGGAAAGGCAAAGTATGTACCAAATATGTGATTATTCCAAAAATTGTGTGTTTGTGACAGAGAGAGAGAGAGAGAGAGAGAGAGAGAGAGAGAGAGAGAGAGAGAGAGAATTTTATCTTTTAAAAATGGCTTGTTTTGGGGACTGATTGGTATGTTTATAAAACATGTATTGCTCTGCTTTATATTTTGGGAAAAACAGCTATAGAGCTACTCTGTCTTAGAGCAAAAAATTGGGCTGGGCATGGTGGTGCACACCTGTAATCCCAACAGTTGGGAGTCTGAAGCAGAAAGATCACCTCAAGTTCAAGGTCAGTTTGTGTTACATAGTGAACTCAAGGCCAGCCTGAACTATACATTGAGATTATGTCTCAAAAAAGGTACCATATAATTAATTTAAGTCTTTAGTGGGTAATGCATAATAATCATTTTACACTTTATGAGTAACACTAAGTATAATAACTAACAAAGTATAATGACTAACAAAGTTAAGTTTCTCAATCAAATGCAAGTTCAGTGTATGAGTGGCTATAAAAGAGCTATAGATTGTTTTGGAATGTACATTTGACCCTGCATTCATGTCCAGACATTCCTCATTTAAAGACCAAGCTCTGTTACTGCCATTAAGTTGTTAAATGAATTGATTGCAAAGTGAGGAATTGTATATTATACGTATATTTCAGTACTTCAATACAAAGGAAACTCCAACTTGATGACTTTGCTCTTATTTGCATAGCACTTACATGCAGTACTATAATGTATAACAGAACGTAAAACCATAGTACTGTCATGTACAGTACAGTCTTGAGAAATTATACTGAATTAAAAGAAGTCCACTGTACAAAAAAGACACTAAGGCTCTGTAAACAAGATGGATAGAATTGCACCCCAAAAAAGGACAGGTTGTAAATCCTAAAACAGTTGTTAAAGATAGATCATTAAAGCAAGGAATATATGCGCGTTTGACTCTATTCATGTAATATATTGTTCAAAACATGACTTGTTTTTGTTAAGCATTTTTCCCAACATGAATTTTTGGTTTATATTTTTTTCATGACATACATTGAAAAAAGTCTAAAAATAAGAGGGACTTTTCTCATAACTTGTCACTCAGGTAGTTTTTGATGAACATACTTCTATGTATCTATAAAACTGTGTACTATGTATCTATAAAACTGTGTATAGAGTTTTACTTGATGTAATCATGCCATGCAAAGTGTATGAAGTACAGCTCAAAAATGCAGTAGTGTATTGTCAGTAACTTTCCCAATAGTGAATATACCTCTAAATTTTAATGGTGGCACAACATCACATTTTATGTATAGAACATAATTTATTTACCTAACCCATGGAATATTTCTTAGGGTGCTTATAATTCATAAGTTTGTAATCTTTAGGTTGGCTAAGTTTCTTGAGTAGATGTGAGAGAGATGGACAAAAAGAATCGAATGGGATCATTAACCTATGACTGTCCAAAATAAATATATCCATAATACAGTTGTTCATTAGAAGATTGTGTTTTTTAAATGATTCTGCCTTTGATTTAATATACAATTCAGGATAAGATCTTTCATGTTATCTGAGTAGAGGAGTCTGTAAAGATTTTTATTTTCTGGGTAGTGCATGGGAGTGGAACCCAGGGCCTCTCACATGTGATGAACGTGTTCCTGATCACTGTTGCCACATTTTCACCCTCTCTATAAAGTTTTTGTGATGCAATTTGGTTAACTTTGTATAGCCACTGCTGTGAATGAGGTGTTAGGGCTCAGATCAGGAGCTTATAATAGCAACTGTTTTAGTACTTTACTATGTATGTACTACAAAATATGCTAATTTATGTTATTTAATATTTGAACAGCTCAGTGAATTAGAAAACTTCCTTATATTATAGGAAGTTTAGGAAACTTAGATCAGGAAAAGCTCAGTGGTTAGAGTATTTGACTTGAGGTCAGGGCTCTAAATCTACTACCTTCTAAATTAATTTTTTGTTTAGATATTTTTTTCTCTGTAAGGCTGTACCCACATTAGAATATTTACTTCTTATTGTTTCCATGTATTACCACTCCTTGTACATATACTTGCTCTAGCACAGCATATCCATTGAGCTATTTTAATTGTACTAATTAGTTTTTCGTATTGACAGAATATTGAGACTTATGATAAATTGCAAATACATAGCACTGTGTTAACATTATGTACTCTTTAGAGTCTGTTCTTTGTAAAAATCTTAAAACATTATCTACAGAATACTTTTTACTTGGTACAAAAGCCTTTCATTCTGTAATCAGTAATTTCTTAGTTTCACAAAGACTGAATTTCGTTAACACAATAAACTAATAGGCAGTGTCTTTGAGGTATTAGTAAGGGGTTTAAAAGTAACTGAAGTGTAGAGTGATTGAGACTTGATGAAAGAGGAAGGATTGTCTATGGAGTAATGTACAGATTTTCATAGGCTATCAGTGGAAAGAAATTTTGCAGATGTATTAGATCAGGGGTATACAAAATATAGCTGGTTTTTGTAGTGTACACAAACTAAGGAGTATGTAACAAAGATGGTATGTGGGCCACAAAGTCTAAAACTTTTTTTTTTATCTGATAATTTACAGAACATTAGCTTACCTTTATTGAGTAAATCATTAAAATGTGTAGATCTAAAAGACATTGGAAATACCCCAAATCCGGAGGATAAAAGAACTATTTCTCTAAAAATTTTAATTTAGCATTGACATTTAAAAAATTTATGCTGCTGGGGATTGGACCCAGGGGCTTCATTCATACTAAGTAAGTGCTCTATCACTGAATTACATTCTCATCTAGTCCTTTTTAAATTTTGAGACAGCATCTTCTAAGTTCTCCAGGATGGCCTTGAGTTTGTAATCCTGCCATATTATCCTGAGGGATTACAATATGCACCACTCAGAGTCCATGCAAGCTAGGCAAGCACTGTGCAGTAGAGCTACATTTCCAGCCCTGTTGTTTTTCTTTAACCCTGTATAAAAGCTGTGGGAATATTTTATAACTGAGTTATGCAGGTAACCTTTTCATTGATTGATGAAGCTCCTACTGCCATTACTGAAAATTTCTTCATAATGGGATTTTATTTCCACAGCGTTCATTAATTGAATTTTCATAATTGTTGGAGAGAAAGCCCAGGACAAGAATGAGGTTCATAGGCCTATTTAGAGTGATCAGAATTACTCATTTATAGCATTGCATTTAGTAAAAACATTGAAAAATATAAATTGCTTACTTAATACATTTGTTAGTCTTGCTGCCCATTTCACACTTCACCCCAGAGCAGCATAAGGGACTATTATAAACCTTGGATATAGTCACCTTGTTGTACTATTTTCTAGGAATTTCTCTAGTTATACATTAGGTGTCTTTTTGCAGTGATTTGCAAACCTTGTTGATACTTTAAGGGTTTTAATGTGATTTCATATAATTTTCAAAATTGGTTCTTTCTGGAAATTGTTTCAAATCCAGTCTTTGCAGCAGATTTAGATTCAAATAACATTTATTGAGCTGTTTACTGTATATTTTCTCATTTTCATTGATAATAACATTTTCTGATATTAGATGCTATGTATATTGCTTACAAATACTTTGTTTTCATTATCACAGCACGACTTTGAGGAAGATATAATTTTATCCTCTACTTTAAAAATTAGAAAAACAAAATCTCTGAAGCATAGTGGTTAAGTAACTTGCCCAAGGTTACTCAGCTAATAGGAATAGAAATTTTGACCTACACAGTCTGACTGCTGCTGTGCTTCTAATAATTATAATGTAATGTGGGTTTTATTGTAGTGTAAATGAAAAAAAGCCACAAACTGTCACAATCATAAATTTCCTGTGTTGTTAAATAGCATCATATAGGTCAAGTTTATGTTATGTTACACTTGCTATCCTGTCAGTTGCTTCTATAGTAGCTTTGTTTTAAGCTCTCAAAGATAGTGATACAATTTAACCAATTTATATTTTTAATGCAGACTTGTAAAAAAGGCAAAAAGGGCCCAGGAGAAAAGAGCAAGGGTGGAAATGGAGGAGGGAAACCTCCTTCTGGTCCAAACCGAATGAATGGTCATCACCAACAGAATGGAGTGGAAAACATGATGTTATTTGAAGTTGTTAAAATGGGCAAGAGTGCTATGCAGGTAATATTTGTTGAGTTCATTCAGTTTGTGTCTTTCAAACTACGGGTATAGCCTTGTTATTTTTTACTGTGTTTTAAAAATAATACTACTTATTATAAAATATGCTACTTAAAAACTAGTCAGGAAGCTGTCCTTTTGAATATAAGATTTTTAAAAAAATTTTCAAGAGTGGAAGACTTTGTTGAGAGAAAGAAAGCTTTTGTCTGTGTGGAACACAAAGGGGCCCAGAAAGTGGGTTGCCCTGAATATAATATCTTTAAGCTGTGCTTTGTCATTTTCTGCTGCTTTTTTATCTTGATGGCATAAGATAAAAATTATTTGGTTGAAGCATATACTAATCTAAGCCCTGGCAATGTTTTCAATTTCTCCTGAGATTATATAGTTGATATAAAACTATGAAGTTCTTTGACTATGTAGAATTCTTGGAAATCTCTCCTCTATGAATTGAACTATTTTTAGTCACTATCATCTATTAAAATGTTTATATTTGTGCTTGATTTATAGCAGAAGAGTAAAACTTTGGATGCATATCCATGTCAAATTATCCTAATTATGTTTCTTTTACATTATTTTATGCAAGTAGGTATACTTAGGCTTTACATAGTTAGCCAAGTCCATAAGGTTTTCAAATTTATTGACTAATATACTTAAAAATAACTATATTTTTTGCTTGCTTGCTTTGCTGGGTACAAGCTGTCTTCTCATATCAGTTTCCTGTATAACTGGCACTACAGGCATGCACCACAGTGCCCAACTAGGAACATACTATGTTATAGAGATGAGGCCTTACTATGTTGCCCAAGCTGGTCTTGAATTTGTGGACTCAAGTAATGTCTCTTGTCTCAGTCTCCCCCAATAGTTAGGACTATGGATGTGTGCCCCTGTAACTGGCTTAAATTTTTATTTAATCTGTAAAAACTAAAGAGAATAGTTTTTCTTCATTGAATTAACATCAGTCAATAGATGTTAAAGAATAGTTTTCTGACACCTAGTGTTTTTAGGCTTTTTGTTACTAGTAAATGAAATGCAGAATTTGTAAAAATAAAATTATGTGCTTTTGTAAAATATCAATTTGGTTTGATAGAGAACAATTTCTTATGTAAAATCTAAAAATAATAGCCATTTGAACTTCTGTCAGTTTTACAGAGCAAGGAATTTATGTACATATGTAGGTTTTTTTGAGACAGGATGTTGCTCTGCAGTTCAGGCTGCACTTGAACTGACTTTGTAGCCCAGGCTGGCCAGGAAAGTTGCAGCTATCCTCCTGCCTCGGCATTATAGGCATGTACCCCTGTACTCCCAAAGCAAGGGGTTTAATAGACAGCAAATTCATAGCATTTTAATTTACCTTTATTTATCCATCCACTAAAGTTTGCTTCTCTACAGTTGTGATTAGTGTTGACTTTCCCTCTGTCTCTGTTTCTTCAGTCTCTGTGTCTCTGTCTCTCTTTCGTTCTGTCGGTCTCTGTCTGTGTCTGTCTGTCTGTCTGTCTGTCTGTCTGTCTGTCTCTCTCTCTCTCTCTCTCTCTCTGTCTCTCTCCTTTTTGAGCCGTGGTTTCAGTATGCAGTACAGGCTGGCCTTGAATTCACTTATATCCAAGGCTGCCCTTGAACTTGTAGCAATCCTCCTGCTTCAGCTTCCTGAGTGCTGGGATTATAAGTGGTGCCTGGCCCATCATTTAATTTTTTAAATGATCATTTTGAGTACACATTTGGCTTTTGCCAGCAAATTTCAAGGTCTGATGAGTATCTTTCTGGTTCATGGACTGCCTCCTTTCATTGTAATCTGCATGGTTGAAGGTACAAAGTCTGGGATCTTTTGAGCACTAATCCCATTCTTGAGGGCTTTACCTTCATGACCTGATCACCTTCCAAAAGCTCCACTTCTTATACTACCATATTGGTGTTTAGGGTTTAATATACTAAGTTTGGGAAGAGTGATAACAACCACCAGAAATTTCAACATATAGATAGCCACAGCTAATTAGGCTATTCTATTTTTGTCTATTCTGTAGGGGTTTTGTTGAACTTTCTGGCTCAGGAAAAATTTTAATAGAATACAGTGAAGATTTTAGCTTTATATTTTTTGTGTTTAAAGTGTTTAAAGAAATCATTTTCATATCTTTGTGGTTTTTTTAGTTCTGCATTAAGATCGTGCATCTGTACCATACATTTTTCTGCTTCTAGATGTTTGTATTTTACAAAAGAATTTCTATAGTATTTCTCTTTTGAAATTCCTGAATTTTTAACTTCCTGTTCCTTATGTTTATTCTCACTTGTGCTACATTTGTGAGACCAGATTTGATCCCAGGGAGTCCTTTGTTTAGAAACAGTTTTTCCTTATTCAAAAGTTATAGGCTCAGAATTTCTTGTGGCATAGTTTCACTTCTCCAGCCATGGTATGTGTCCTGCCCGCAGGTTATCCATTTCTGTTCTTCTAGATGCCACGGATAGTTTCTTTTGCCTCCTCATATCAGATAGGACTGAATCAGATGTTACTCTTCTTTTGAAAGGCATTCTTTTCCTTTTGAAAGTCTTTCTTTCAAAATTTTTGTATTGTTTTTGAAGGTTTTATTTACCATTTTATTCCATTATAATACTATCATTATGTTTATATATATATATATCTAACTTAGCTTCTACATTATTAATTCCTTGATCAGAAGATGTGTGTTTTTGGTTTTTGTCCCCCCCCCCTTTTTTTTCCTGTTAGTAATTATACCTATTAGTAATTATAAATGAGAATGACTAAGAGATTGACTTTTGGCCTAAAAATAGTTCTTGCATTTTAAGAAATTAGAGACCATGTATATGCCCTCTAATTTTACTAGTTATATGTTGAACTCTATTTGGCATACTATGTTAAATGTTAAAATTTTAACCATTTTAGTGTGACAGTGTATATTTTTTATTATAGTAGTCTTGTGTTCCTAGTGTAATTCTACTTGATCTTCATGAATTACTTGTTAATGTGGATGGCCTGGTCTCTTTGTAAGGTTTTAGCAAATATTTTTGTGTCGTTATTCATGACATTAGAATTTATCCTTATCTATTGATGTATTAACAGACTGTCAAATTTAGCAAAGTGAAACAACTACCATTTTATTTGGCATAATGATTTTTTGGGTCTAAAATTCAGACAGAACTATGTAAGAATAACTTGTCTTTGTTCATTATAGCTGGGGCCTTACTTGGGATAGATGGACTGCCTCTTAAGTAACATTGTTGGCATAATTACCTGAAAGTTTTCCACTCTTGGTTGGAACTTAGTGTATAATAATTGAATGATTGAGCTCAGCCAGGGACTAATTGGTGAACCTACAAATTGCCTTTCCATGGCCTAGACTTTTTACATTATAGCTTTGGGTTTGGAGATACTATATTGAGGGGCAATGTTCAGTTTGCTAGTGCTCCAAGAGATAATGCAGATGCTTCTATCACAATCTCATAATATACTCTTTTACTATTTTTTTTTGCCTGTATCACTTTGGGAAAACTGGCAACGCATTTCTTTTGTGAATTGTGTTGTTAACATGTAGTAACTGTTGTAAAATACAGAAAAAGATTCAGTTGTATAAATCTTGTTAGCTTTCCATTGCTATAACAAATATCTGAGATAGCTTTTCTTATTTTAACAAACATGTGATATAATAAGCTTATAATTTGGAAAGGTTTATTTTTATGGGTTAGAGCTTCAGAGGTTTCAGTCTATATAGTACTCATTTGCCCCTCATGCCTTTGGGCCTGTGTTCATATAGTGTATCATAGAAGGGAATGTGTGGTGGAACCGGCACTTACCTCATGGCACCTGGGAGAGAGAGACAGGTGACAAACTATCCCCTTTGAAGGATTGTCCCTAACAACCTGAAACCTCCCACTAGGCTGCACCTTTTAAAGTTTACATCACCTTCAGCGTCAAGTTGGGGACTAACCTTCAACACACGGGTCTTTGGGGGAACATTCCAGGTCTAAACTACAGCACCAGTAGTTTTAAAAGTGTCAATTCAGTGCTTATGGAATTGTACAGCTACAATTCCATATCACTATCTAATTTTAGAAGATTTTAATTATCCCAGAAAGATACCTCATATCCATTATCAATCACTTCCCCTTCCGGGTCTAAGCCACACTTACCTACTTAGTGTATGTTTGCCTATTCCAGATATTTCATATTCTTGAGTCATAGAATTCGTGATTCTTTGAGTGGTTTCTTTTGATTTCACATAATACTATCAAAGTTTATTCATGTTGTGGCGTGTATTATAACTTAATTCAAAGTATGATACTGTATGGCTATAGCATGTTTTGCTTGTTTGTCCCATAATGCACATTTGTGGTGGTGTCACTTTTTGGCTATTTTGAATATGCTCACAGTGTTTGGACATAATTGTGTTTGTCTTGTGTAGTAAATGCTTGGGAATCAAATTGCAGTATCATATAATAACTATATTTAACTTTTTGAGGCATTGCTACACATTTTCCAAAGTGGTTACACCATTTCATATTCGCATCAGCATTTTGAGTGTTTAATTTATCCACATCTTTACCAATGCTTGTTATTGTCTGTGTTTTTCTATTATACCTATTATAGTGTGTATAGAGTAGTGTCTCATTGTGGTTTTGATTTGCATTTCTTTGATGGCTGTTGCTGGGGTGAATCTTTTCATGTGCTTATTGGTTGTTTGTATACTGTTTATATAGCACTCTCTTCTGACTCTTTTAATTTTTAATTTTCATTTGGGGTGTTTGGCTTTTTGGTCTATACACAAATCCCAGATACATGATGTTCAAACAATTTATCTTGTTCTTTGCATTACTTTTTTACTTGATGGAATTCTTTGAAATGCAAAAGACTTTAATTTTGAATATGTTGAATTCGTTTTTTTTTTTCCTTTTGTTGCTTTCACTTTTGATCTAGTGTCCTAAAGAGGCTTTGTCAAATGCAAGATTATGAAGGTTTAATTTTATGTTTTTTCTAAGAGTTTTATAGTTTTAGATAGTTTAGATTTATAATTTAGATTCATTTTATTTAAATATTGTGTGGACTGTGTGAGGTAGAGTCCAACTTCATTCTTTCTTTTTCTTGTGGATATACATTTGTCCAAGGGAAAAAATACAGTCATCCAAAGAAAAAGTTAAAAAGTCTTTTTTCTCTGTTGAATTATTTTGGCATCCTGTTTGAAAATCAGCCATCAATTTTAGGGTTTATTTCTGAACCTCTAAATTTTGTCCCATTTTAAATCTACATTTCATTTACATTTTCTGTATTTATATCAGTATTATGTTATCTTGATTATAGTAGCATTATAGTAAGTTTTAAAGTTATGACATCTGGGGGTCAGAGATACGGCTCAGCAGCACAGCGTCTGACTTGCAAATGTGAAGTCCTGAGTTTGTTTGCCAGTACAAAAAAAAAATTGTAACATGGATCTTCCAGATTTCTCCTTTTGTAAAGTTTTATTTAGCTATTTAGAATCCCTTGCATTATCATAAGAGATTTAGGATCATCTCTTAATATTTGTAACAAAGCCACCTGGGATTCTGATTGGAACAAAATCTCTATATATCATCAGGAACAGAGATGTCTAAAAATGTTAAGTGTTTAGATCCATAAAGTATCTACTTTTGATGTTTTCTTTTGTACCGGGATTGAACTCATGACCTCATGCTTGCTAGACAGGAGCTTATGCCGCAGAGCTAAATCCCCGGTCCCTTTTTCTGTAGTCTTAAATTTGCCTCTCCTACTTAGGATTAATGCCCATGGTTGAAAAATACTGTTGCTTCATACGTTTTCATTGATTTAGGCATTGACCTCTTAAAAATTTTTAAATTTTGTTCTAAGGCAATATTAACATTTATTCATATTTGACTAAAGTGCTTGAATTGTATATCAGTAGAACTTAGTGTGATTTTTTTAATACATGTATACCATGTGAGTTAATCAAATCTAGTCTCCTGTGAACTGCTCTTTGCATCTCTACTCTTGCAAGCTTTAGTAAATCAGTATTCTGCATTTATATCAATTTTTAAAATATTTAATACAATATGTTAATCCAAAGGAAATATAGATATGACTTTTAATATTTTCTTGAAAATTTTTGAACACACTGAGGATTATACTTTATAGAAATTGAGTCCCACACCTAAGATTATTATAATGCAGAATAAATAGAAGAGTGTCATTTTATGCTATTAGGCAAATTATTACCTGAATTTGATTCTAGTTTATTTTTAAAATTGAACTCTGAACATCATTATATAAATATGATACCTACAGTGTTAGGTTTATATTTTTCATTAGACTTAATTGATTCTTACAATATTAGAAAAAACTAATAATTTCTTTTTAAAATTTTTTCTTCTCTACTGCAGTCGGTGGTAGATGATTGGATAGAAGCGTACAAGCATGACCGAGATATAGCACTTCTTGACCTTATCAACTTTTTTATTCAGTGTTCGGGCTGTAAAGGTAAGTAGAAGTAGAAAGTTTTTAAACAGTCATTTTTTTGTTCCTCCTAAGGAGATATTCGCACTTTTTAAGTAACATAATGTCATACTAGTGAATTATTTCCATTATGCCCATATGAATTGTATAAGGAAAATGGTTAAGAACAAAGAGAGAAGTCCTATTTATTGCCAAAATTATATTCATGTGTGAAATTTATCTGAAAACCTGACAATTTATAATTGCCGTATTTCCTACTTTCAGCATGTGGTTTTAGGAAAAAAGAAATTGATTAAGAAGAAAGGAGGAAATAATATAGATACAGGTTTAAATAGCAGAGAAGTGTAAAGTGTAGGGAATTAGAAGTACCATGAATAACAGTAAATAAGAATATAGTTCTGTTATTGATGAAATTGTCAGCTATTTTTCTCAAAGGTAGAGAAATATGCTTGTTAGTGAGATCTTCTTTAAAGTTTTTTACTTAATAAAATTTGAAGTAGGAGTAGAGAAAGTACAAAATACAGTAATCTCATTCCGAGGACAATAATATTTAGGACAGGAATTTAGCAGTGGAACAAAATTATGTAAGTTGGGGAGTTATATATTGTTATGTAGATCAGTAAATGAGTGAGTCAAGATCATTGACAGGTTGTGGTGTATTGTGTGTCTCTTAATACTTACAACTCATCCTTGAAATTCTAGAAGGTGCTCAGGCAAATAAATTTTATGGAGTTTTCAGGAGTATTAGATTGTTAATGAAAAATGGCACTAAAAATTTGGCCACTAGAAATCAGAAAAAAGAATTATAAAGTTGAAATTCTAAAAATGACTTCAGACAAAAAATGTGAACAAAGAATCGTAAGATACAGTTTAATTTGCATTCACCTTAGAGAATTTGTACATGATATAACTTGATTCTTCTTTTTTTCTCATTCCTCTCCCTTCTCTTTAGCCCTTCTTTCCCTCGGTTACAAACCTTTGTTTTTATCCTTTTCTTTTCCCTTCCTTCCTTTCTCCCTCATGGCTCCCTAGTTCCTCTTTTGTTTTGAACAACTTTTTGCTATTTTATAATATCTACTATACATTTTTGGCTCTTATTTACACTTTCAATGTCTCACACCAGAAAGACAATGTGATATTTACATATTGGTCTTATTTATTTCACTTAAGAATATGGTCTCAAGTGCAACCATTTAGCTATATATGTCTCAAGTTTATCCTTCTTTGTTACTGGCTAGTAGTTCATTGTAGAAAAAATATCTTGTTTATCTACTCATCAGTTGATGAGCAATTTGGGTTACTTCTAAGATTTAGCTGTTGCAAATTGTGCTGCTATAAACATGGGTGCACATATATTGCTGTGGTATGATGCTTTTACTTCTTTTGGGAAGGTACCAAGAAGCGAAGTAGCTGGAAATCAGTGTCAAATTCTGCAGTTTAACTTTTAGTAATCCTAAAATTCTTTTAATAGACTGTAAATGATGTAAGTAGTAATGTTAACAGTATAAATGTAAGTAATAAGACATATGTCTTGCCCTCCAGGACCTGGTAGTCTAGTTGGTTATTAAAAGTTAAGATTAGCAAAGAGACAAAAAGCAAATAAACTATTCAAAGTAGTGTAAAGTATGAACAAGTTTTGAAGAGATATATATGACTCTATGTACATATTAAGCCTGTAGAAGGTTTTGAGAATTGTTTCTTTAGCCAGAGAATAATGGAGCCTTCTTCTGATTTCAAGAAATTTTTATCATTTGATTTCTTTAAGGTTGTGTTAAGTAAGGACTCTTCTGGAGTTCCCTTAGAATTGATCTCACCCAGAGGAGGCAGCATGATTTAGGTGAATAATCTTTGACATCTTGTGTAATTTTTACCCCCTTTCAATTTGCCAATATTTATTAATCATTTTCAAGTCAAAGGAAATACCTTTTTTAAAACTCAACCAAACTGAGTGTTTTCTCTCATACCTGTCAGAAAAACAGATTAAAGGAAATTATATAATTTCTCTTAGCTTTAGTGTCCTTTCTGTGATCATAACTTCATATCTGGGTATATATGTATACAAATACCTGCACGCAAACACATGGATTAAACAAAATGTGCCTCTGGCCAATTGAATATCCATACTGCATTTACTTCTTATTATACATCTTTTGTACTAATGCATTATTTGTTACTTATAGTACTGCTGGGTGTTTGTTAACCAACTATACAGCTCACCAATAAAAATACGTTCTTGTGAAAATCTAGTTTTTTTTTCATTTATATCCTCTTGTTTGTAAATTTTATGATGCCTTGCCAGTAGAAGTTCATGCACATCTTGCATTATCTCCTAACATAACTTTTCCCTAAAAATTCCTTTTCTAATGTTTGATCTTTGCTTGGCTAATTTTACAAATTATAATGAGCATCCCCCTTCCCATTCTTTATTGATGCTATGAAAAGTTCTCTTTCCCTGAAATAGTTAATTCTGGACATTACAGGCCCTCCCCCAATCTGAAGTTGTGTTTCTTCATATTGCCATTCATCAGGGCACTTACTGTATATATATTTTAATAGTTTATTTTATTTAATTTTGTCTCTTTCTTTGTTTAATATAAAACTAGATTATTGGCTTCTGTATGGGCAGGATCTCCAACTAACTTACATGATTTATAGCCATTGAGAAGATGTTAGAATATAGTTGCCTTACTCATAGCAGTACTTACTAAAGAAACCTAGCTATAATGATCTGTTACCTTTCTCTTTGTCTTCTTCAACTTCACGTTGATTTTCGAGGATGTCCTTTGTGTATATGAGATACAGTACCAGAGAAGGAACCTAGGGCCTTGGCCATAGCAGACATCATTGTATCACTGATCTGTATCCCCAGTCCTCCTCAAGGTCTACCCTGGATGCTGCCTCACCCTTGATAACTTATGATTTATGTTAAAAAGTCATAGTTAAGTGTGGGTATTTAAAACAGATATTAGGCCAAAATTGTGCCTGTTCTGAATGTGTACAAATTTTCTCATCGTTATTCCCAAACAATATAGTGTAACAACTGTTATATAACTTTTACATTTTATTAAATGAAATGTGGCGCTGTTTCTATTGTACCTGTTGATTGTAGCATTTGCTGGTGATTTGTTGATATGTTTCAGTATTATCTCAGTTAATTTTCTCATTGTTGAGACAATATATCCAACATTGAAATTTCTCTGCCAGATTAGTCTGCTACCTTTAATCTCAGTCTCAGGCAAAGTCTTTGGACAAGAGCAAACCATAGACAAACTTGCTGCTAAGGCATAACACGCATCCTCTGAAGTCCAGTAGCCAATACAGTCCTTTCCTGCAGAAACCTCCTAAGCCTGATCTTTACCAGCAGCATTTATATCATCATTATGATCTTCTGATTTCTGAGCAGAATCTCCCATGAAGTATAGCTTAAAGCATTCTAGGACCGGTGCTTCAGCTGTCATCTTCAAAACTTTCTAAGCTCTTTCCACAGGCCAATTCTAAAAGCTGCTGAACCACATGGTCAGGTACAGTTATAGCATCCACCCTACTCTGTACCAAATTCTGTCTTTGTTACTTTTCTTGTTACTGAGACAGAATACCTGCTACCCAAAGTTTAAGGAGGAAAGGTTTATTTATCTCAGTTTGTAGAGGTTTCATTTCATAACTCTCCAAGGCAGAGTAGCATGGCAGAGGAGAAAATAGTTCATGGCAGGTAGAAGGCACTAGGTTACAAAAAACAAGTAGCAATAGCAGCTTCTTTCTGTCACTTTATAGTTCATCTAGCCTGCCAACCCTTAGGGCAGTTACTGTCACACCCAGAACTATGTCAAACCAATCACTAGAGTAATTTAGTAATCCCGCATGCTTAATCCCAGCATCACACACTGTATATTCAGCTACCTCTGAAAAGTCCTACATAGGAATCCATTAGGTTTTGAGGGGATCAGGCATAAGTATCATACTAAAAATAAAGTGAGGAAATATACCTTTATTGTGTGACTGTATATTCCCTAATGTTAGAGGCTGATTTAGAAATTACTTTTTTTCCCATTACACCGTGTATTAACTTCTCACACTTGGAAATTTCAGGAGTTGTCACAGCAGAAATGTTTAGACATATGCAGAACTCTGAGATAATTCGGAAAATGACTGAAGAATTTGATGAGGTAATTTCTTACCTTGAATGTTTTAATAATTTTGTACACATGGAGCTTGACTTATTTTTTGATCTTGACTTATTGAAAATTTTTATAAATTTTGAGTAGTAATGTGAATGTGTACTTTGCTACCGATCAAATGATCTCTGTGTGACCTTGAGAAAGTTGTTAAAAGATCTATTTCATCATCTGTAAAATGGAAGTAATAGTTTTCTTATAAAGTTGGCAGAAATGTGTGAAAAAGGTTTAGCATTTTGTTAATTCCTGGCACATAGCAACAACTCAGTAGATGTTAGCCATTTTTTATTGTAAATAATTTAATATTCAAGGAACATTATTTAGAACATCCAGAATATTGGGAAGGGAAGAATTGGTCACCGTATTAGAAATCAAGTATTTCAGCTAAAATAAATACAAATATTTATCTTTTATGATTTAAAAGCTCCTTTGTGTTTCAGTTATACATGTGATTAAAACAATAATAAAATGCTAATTTAGAATTGAGCAAAATATCTCAGTAAATTCTTTGAAACGCTGTTACAAATATATATATATATATATATATATATATATATATATATATATTTGTAGATTTACTAGACTATAAGCTCCTTCGGGGCAGGAGTTTTTATTTGTTCATTCATAGTTGTGTTGCAGCACTGGTAGTTACACTTTTAAATCCTTTCACTGAATTTTCAAGTCAGAAATCCTATCTTATTTGGGCTTTTTTTGGTCATTTTTTTTCTTATTCTTTAATTAAAGAGCTTTCAACTCATTGCAAAAGATTCATGAATTGTTAAAATGGCTTTAATTATCATTAATTGCTATTAATCAGTCTCCAGGTAGTTGAGAAATAATTATGCATAATGATATTTTTTAACCTTTTATATTAAATATTTTAGTGAGAAATCTTCTCAGAGAAACAAGTATTTGAAATTATCATTCTAAAATAATATTTGAAAATCTCAGCAAGGTTGCTAACGAAAATTAAGGTGGCATATTTCAGTGTAATCACTGAATATACTTATTAGAAAATATGGGATTTAGGGCGGAAAAGCTCAGTGATCAAATTCATACTCAGCATATGAAAAACTCTGGGTTTGATCCCTAGTATTTCTCAGACAACCTTTTTTTTTCCCAGACAGAAGCTTTTTGTGGAATATATTAGGATCGTATTCTCAGACACAGTTCACTTTACATATGGAATGTATTAAAATTTTAAAATTCTGTTTGTGACAGAAATAGTTAAAACTTTTCTAAGCAACTGACAAACTGTGTTTAGTGACTTTTGTTAGGCCTTAACTTTTAAAAATTCTGAGTATTGGTGTCTGGTTTTTTAAAGGATAGATTTACTGATTTATTTGTTGATTGCAGAGCTGGGGATCAAAATCCATGGTCTTGGGTATGCTAAGCATGAACTCTATTACTAAGATATATCCTCAGCCCTGCATGTCTTTTAAAATTTATATGGTTATCTGTTGACTATTTGATGCCATGAAGATAATGAAAATATACACATTTCTGTATTTGTTGATGTATATATATCATTCTGTTAGACTATTTGTATATCATTTGACTGTTTATATCATTCTGTTAGACTGGCTGAGAATATGATTTCATTATGTTGAATCAATGTGAAGATAATAATTTGGCTTTTTATTTAGTTTTGTTTTAAATTTAATACATGTGTTTGTCTTTAGAAAAGTTTCACTTTAATGAGGGAAGATTTAAAATACTTAACTATACTTATTGATATGTAATTTCATTTTTTAAAATGAATTTAGGTTATATAATTTGACCTTTAAAATGCAGTGTTCAAAACTAGCTCTTCCTTTGTATATTCTCTTGCTTGATTTGAGAATCTATTGGAAAAATGTAAAATAAAGGAGGCAAAAGCATGAATGAATAGATTAAGGTATATAAAAAATGTGGAATCTTATTTTATGTATTTTAAATGAATTTGCCATTTAACATTTTCGTTTTAGGATAGTGGAGATTATCCACTTACCATGGCTGGTCCTCAATGGAAGAAGTTCAAATCCAGCTTTTGTGAATTTATTGGTGTATTAGTACGGCAATGTCAATATAGTATCATATATGATGAGTACATGATGGATACAGTCATTTCACTTCTTACAGGATTATCTGACTCACAAGTCAGAGCATTTCGACACACAAGCACCTTGGCAGGTCAGTATTTTGGAATATTTTCTGTGTGCTGTTGCATTAGGTTTGTGGTGAAAGACATTTTCATTAAAAGAGAAAGAAAATAATAGTGACATGAATTGATTTTATTTTTGAAGTGATCATCTAGAGAACATTCTCCCTGCCTAACCCCTTGTGAATTATCTGGAATGGATTAGTACTTCCCAATTTTGATTGCTTTCATGCATGTTGTAGGTAGTATATAGTATATATACTATATTTTCTTGAGATAAACCTACTTGATTGTTTTTTGACAGCAAAGGAAACTTAGTTGATTAGGTATATGTCGGGTTCTTGAAAGATGTTTTATCAAGGGACGTATCTACAGCATATTTGGGTGGATTATAACAGTAAATTTTGTATATATGATCTTGATGATCTTATTGTTTGCCTCATGTTTCTGGGTAACTTTAAGTTAGGTCAAATTGTTTGATCTTTAAATGTTAGTGAAAAGAGTTTTATACCTCCCATGGTTAATTCTAGAACAGTCATTTTTTGGTTTGACATGTATAAAATTTTTACCTTTTGTGGTACTGGTAAAATTACTGATGTTATTGAATATGTACTCCTTGACTTGAATTTGAATAAATCAAATAGGCTTTGTTTTTAAAATATTCCACACCTTAAGGATAATTTAGATTTCTACTTTTAAAACTTTCCTCTGTTGGGTATTTTTTTTTTCCTTTAGAGTATTTTCTCAAAGAGATGTCATTAAAGATAGAGCTCACTGGATGTTGTGGCACATACCTGTAATCCCTTCACTCCAGGAGGCTGAGGCAGAAGGCTGTGAGTTTGAGGCCAGCCCGGGCTACTTAGTGAACTCAAGGCCAGCCTGAGCTACACATCAAGATCCTTTAACAAGCAAACAAACAACATAGCTCTCAGTTTTTAATTTTTGAAAAAAATAAAAGTTTTCCCCTATGTTCTGTTTGTTTTTAGATTTGAATTCACTAAATATGAATATACTCTTGCGTTATATAAGGTACCATTCAATATAATTTAATAGACAATAGTCAGATTCTCTTTTCTTATTGAGATTGTTAAATGACTTCTCCATGAACTGAAATTTACGTACGTGAACCATAATATCTGAAAAAAATGATTGTAGGATATATAATATAGAAAAGGAGGATTTAATCTTAGTGTGATAGCAAATTGCATTGTTTTAAATCCTGTTTAACTTGGGAAGGTTTGTTTTTTAAAATTTTATTTATTTATTTATTTTTTATTTTTTTTTTATTTAAGGAGAAAAGAAAAAACAAGTGAAAGGGTACAAGTTATACAGATTTACAGAAGAAAAAAATGAACAGTAGGAAATCACTAGTTAATGGATTACATATTGCCATCTTAAAAATAATTGTTCAAGTCACAAAATTAAAGCTTGTAGAGTGGACATTCCAACAATGATACTGCAAACAGTTCTGTTCAATGATCCAATAAAACTCTGTGATATCATTTTCTATCTTATACACTTAAATATACATGCAGTTATATAGTTTAGAGCACTTTCTTTTCCTCTCTTTTGTACAATGACTATTACACATTTTGGGTTTCATTGCTCCCACGGTTCTTATTGCTTTTTTGGAAGAGAGTAAAACCAAATGAGACATAACAGGACAGAATCGGTCAAGTCAAAAGGGTGGACATAATAGATAATATAAAAACATAATACAAGGTGATCAACAATGGTTACCATAAACCTCCCGCTATCTCTAATAGAATTGCCTATATCATTAGTTGTAATACAATTGAACATAACAGTAAAGAACAAAACCGACAAAACCAAAACATTGGAGACATTGTAGGTCTTCAAAAGTAGATAAAAGTCAACGAGAATGGGCGTTATAATGAATCTCATTATCTTCTCAGCTGATGCCTAAACTTTCGAACCTTAAAATTTTATTGGTACATTTTAGGTATACATTGTGTTTACTTTCATCATATGGAATTTGTACCTGTATATAATATATCTTGATTTTTCTTTTTTGCTCCCTCATTCTCTCCTCTCTCTACAACTCTTCTTATTTATAGAAGCTTCGTTTTCATTTTTTTCCTTCTATTATTTTTTTTCCCTTCCTTTCCCTGCCTCCCCCCTTATATTTACTTCCTACTTCACAATATCTATTACACATTTTGGTCCTTATTTATACTTTCAATTTCTCACATCAGAGAAACAATGTGATATTTAAAATGTGTATGTGATTCATTTTACTTAAGAGTATGATCTCAAGGTGGATCCATTTATCTAGAAATGTCTGAAGTTCATCCTTCTTTAAGTGAAGCAGAATGCCATTGCATAAAAAAACTCAACATCTGCTTTATTCATCTGTTGATGGGCTGTTTTCAAAATTTAGCTATTATAATTTTTGTTGCTATAAATATGGATATGTATGTTTCACTGTGGTAGGATGCTTTTAAGTCTTTTGGGAAGATACCTAGAAGAGGAGTAATTGGGTCAAGTGGAACCTTTAGTTTTACTTATTTGAGAAATCTCTACACTCGTTTCCACAGTGGTTGCACCAGTATACAGTCCCACCACCAGTGTAGATGGATTCCTTTTTTTCTACAGCCCTGTTAGCATTTGTTACTGATTGATTTCTTGATAATAGCCATTCTTTCTAGAGTGAGATGGAGTTTTGGTTTTGTTTTAATTTACATGTCTCAAATGACTTGTGATATGGAACGCTTTGAATTCTTTAATTACTTCTATGTACTGTGTACTCTGTGGTAGATTTTTCTTTTCCTTTTTCCAAATCCATTTTGTGGCAGATTTCTTTTTTTAAAAAAAATTTAAGGAGGATAAAACCAGGGAAAACAAAATAGAATAAAACCACACAATATAAACTAGTATAAGTGATACAGGACTTCAGAATGTTATTAAATTAGCAGTAGTTGCCATAATACCTCTTGTTTTCAAAATAGCTGCAGATGCCTTTGGACACAATGAAAATTGAACAGAACAGAATAGAGCAGAAACAATAAAAACAAAACAATGAATGCAATAAAGAACTTCAAAAGAAGTTAATAGTAAATCCAAAATGGCTACCATAATATGTCTATCTTTTAAATAGCTGCTCATGCCATCAGATTTAACATAATCACACAAAACAAAAGAAATTAAAAGTCAACTCAAGAAAATAATGAAAATCATGTGGTTTCTGGGCGATGATCACCTCCTGGTCAGCCCCCATCCTTGAATGGCCCTGACTCTGACTCTTGACTCACGGAGAGATGATTAGGTCTGGCTGTTCCCACTTCATCACTGCCCTGCACATGATGTTCCCCCCTTCCCCCCAGTCCGTGAATGACTGACTCATGGAGAGAGAGTTGGGTGTGGCTGTCCTCATTCTGGCCGTGGCCTGTGCATGGCTGTTGCAGATTTCTTAATCTCTCCCAGTTTTTGTTTCCTGGCTTTTGTCTTTGAGGCCTGTAATATATAAGGTATAGGATATAATCCATGAAAAATAAATAGCGCAAGTAGTGTATTGACATACATCTAAATATTCTATACAGTATTAGCTGTTGCTTTATTGTAGTCATTTGTAGCAACTGTATTTTGTTAGAGGCTCTACAGTTTTATCTCTACATAATTTGATCTTGCATTATAAGTTTTTGCATCTGTTAGTCTAATTTCAATACTTTACTCTTTTAAAAATAGCTATGAAGTTAATGACAGCTTTGGTGAATGTGGCACTAAATCTTAGCATTAATATGGATAATACACAAAGGCAATATGAGGCAGAACGGAATAAAATGATTGGAAAACGAGCCAATGAGAGACTGGAACTCTTGCTACAAAAACGGAAAGAGGTAAATTTTTGTTTGAATATTCAGGCTGTTAATTTGTGACCAACTTGGCTACTATTAATTATAACTTCTTAACTCCACAGGTTTTTTTTTTAATTCTTAAGATAAAAACACAGAAAAGGAAAACAAAAGAGACAAACAGTAACAATAAGAACAACTAAAAACCCAAAACAATAATTATATAGGCTTTCAAAAGTAGATAATAGGAATTTAATGATTGTCATATTACATATTGTCATCCTCAGAAGAGTTGCTTAGATTACTAGATGTTGACATGCAAAAATAATCAAGTTGTATGAGTATTAACTATTCTTTTCCAAGAACTAATAGAATTAGTAGTACAGTCATCTTAGGTATCTTACATGTATATGTGTATATATATATATATATATATATATATATATATGTGTGTGTGTGTGTGTGTGTGTGTGTATGTATATGTATATACATACACACACACATACAAATTTATATCTTTCACTTTTCCCTTCTTTGTTTTCTCCTTTCTCCTATCCCAGTTGTTTTGCTGCTTTGAGCAGTTTCTTACCCTTTTACATATCTATTACAAGGTTTGGATCTTATTTACCCTCTCTGTTTCTTACACTAGGGGGACAATACAGTATTTATACATGTAAGTCAGATTTATTTCACTTATGAGTATGATCTCAGGTCGCATCCATGAACTTAAAAACACTTCCATGCTATCTTTCTTTATAGCTGAATAGTACTCCATTATATAAAAATACCACATCTTTTTTGTCCATTCCTCAATTGATAGGCATTTGAGTTATTTTCAAGATTTGGCTATTACAGATTGCACTGCTATAAACATGGGTGCACATATATCACAAAAATTTACCTTTTTGGGGGGCTGGGTATTCAACACAGAGCCTTGTACATGCAAGGCAGAGCTCTACCACTGAGCTACATCCCTAGCCCCTCCCACAGATAATTTTTTTAAATATTTAATTTTGGGTGAAGTGGCAGAGATTAAACCTACGACTTTGTATATGCTAAGCATATGCTTTACCACTGTGTTATGCTACTTCAGTCCCGTGAACGATTTAATTTTAAACCATGTAGTTCACATTGTTTATGATCTTGACTTAAAGTTTTGACTATCCATGCCAACAGTACCTTGCATATTTTTTATCATGTGTGGACTAGGATTAAGAATGTTGCAGTTTAAGAAAAGAAGACCTGGGGCTGTGGATTTGGCTCCATGTCATAAGCACCTGTATAGCAAGCATGAAGTCATGAGTTTGATCCTGCGTACAAAAAGCAAACAAAAGGCTGCCACAAAATTCTGATGGAGCCAAGGATTTAGCTCAGCAGCACAAGCACCTGTCTGACAGGTGCGAGGTTATGAGTTCTATCCCTGATTCCAAAACAACATCAACAACAACAACCACAACAACAAGAGACCTTGGTCAGCCTGGAAAACTGTATGAGATTGACTGTGACAGTCTCTGTGCTATTTTCCTAGCAGTCTTGTTCCTAACTAGCTTCTTGTTAGCATGAGATGAGGTTCATAATTATGTGAGAAATAACTTACAGACCATTTGTTAGCATTTGAGTATTTACTACATTCAGATTTGAATGAAGAATTTTTTTTTAAAAAATTGAGTGCTAAATAGTAGTAACTAAAATATTTTAATGTTTCCTTTGAAATTTAAATTGTGCCAGGCATGGTGGTATATACCTTTAATCACAGCACTCTGGAAGGTGAGGCAGAAGGATTTCTGCAAGTTTGGAGCTGTATTTTTAAATGGGTTGTTACTGAAATATTCAATAACTTTTAAATTCTCTGACTGAAGGAAATGAAGAAAAGTCCTATTATCCCTCATGTCTAAAGTCCTCATCTTTTTTAGATAATTAAAAATGAGAAATGAGTACGTTTTCCCCTTAATTTACTTAATGTTTCATTGGTTGATTTATTCGATGAATATGAAGTATGTCTTAGCCTTTGAAATTCTGGCTTTATTCATGGACAGAAATTTGATTGCTATCATAGGATGAGTGAATACATTAAAGGACTTTGAAATTAAATTAAGTTTTTTTGTTGCAGTCGCCTTGCTGGCCATATAAGAAGCACAGACCAAATCTAAGCATGGTGGCACAAGTCAGTAATCCCAACTACTTGGGAGCCTGAGGGAGAGGATTGCACATTCTAGGACATCCTAATCAATTTAATAAAAATACAAAAAGGATAGGGATTGAAACTCAGTACTCTTTAGATTTAAAAACAAAGCCACATGCTTGAGTTACGATTACTTAGAAATGAAAATCATAGTCATGCAGAGAAAAATATTCATTTTACAAAAACATGTAGATAAGTTTATCCTTAGATTGTAAAGAATCAGTGTTTCCTTAATACTTAAAACTCCAAACTGAAAATATATGAATTGATATGTTGATCAGTATCTGAAATATTTACCTGATTGTTTCAGTTTTTAGCCTGTCTTTGCTCAAAAGAATTAACTAGTAATACAGACTTTTTTATGTAGTTATTTTACTGTATTAATCCCTTTTTGTTCCTGAAGTCAGAGCTAGTTGACATGGTTTTTCTTTTGCAGACTGCCAAGATTAAGATAATGAAAAAGTGTGCCTTTTTGATATGGATATATGTTACATAATAAATGCTATGTAATAATAAACCACATAGCCGATTTTTCTACCAGCTCCTTTATACAATAGAAATTTTGTAAACATTAGAAAAATCAGTGGTTTACCAAGCCAAATTTCTTCAGTTTAACATTAGAAGCTAAGTCACATATTTCCAGAATCAAGGGACACTAACTTGGTCACATTGGACTTTTGATTTTTTTCTCTCTAGTTTCTCATGTCTAGTAGAATAAAAACTAAATATGATCATCAAAACACTGGATAAGAAACCTAAAATTTTTTGATACTTGCAGTACCTTTTAGGTGTATTTTGTCTTCCCTTATAATTGTCCTCATTTTACAAGTGTATTTTTCTTCATAGCTTCAGGAAAATCAAGATGAAATAGAAAATATGATGAATGCAATATTTAAAGGAGTGTTTGTACATAGATACAGGTAAGTAAAGACAGTTTGTAAGTAGCACTTTGCAGTTTTTATTCAAATTTGGATATTTAGTGATTTAGGCAATATAAATTAGTGGAAGGAGTATGTAGTAAAATAAGATCAGTGATAGAATCTAAGCTGCACCACTGAGTCACTCTGGTCTAGTCAGTTACCTGCTGTGAACTTGATGTTTCTTGTGAGTACAGTGGGGTAACGCTGTGCTTTACTTGTAGATTCTAAGCCAATTGAGGACATTGTTAATATTAGACATCAGGGTACAAAATACTTAGTTGTCTTTGATGCACATTTTGGTGGTAGTTGGACATCTTGACTCCTGATTTTCTTCTCTCCATTTGAATATCACTGGGAAAATTTGGATAGATTAAGGTGGTATGTTTTTCTTTTGCTATTTTGAATGAGCAGAGCAAAGAAATAGATAAATCTTATAAATTTTGACTATATTAAATCTTAACATTTTATTCATTTTATTCCTTCATTTCTCCAACTTGGCAATTACTGAATCAGTTTAATACTGGGCTTCTAACGTCCCTATTTCCATTCTTTTATTTCTGTTTCTACTATTAACTTAGTCTGTTCCCTTATCATAATTATTGTTAGAGATTACAGGAGTTTTCTTAAAACATCCTTTTACTATGCTTAGCTTCTGCCTTCAGTGACTCACCAGTATCTACCAGTGCAATTAAAATCATTAGTCTGTGCCAGACACAGTGACACGCACCTGTAGTTTTAATTCCTCTAGAACCTGAAGCAGCAGGATATTTGAGTTAAGACCTTGAAATCAACCTGGGCAACATATTGAGTCATGTCTTTAAAAAAATAACAGGCTAAAATAATTTTGTCTGATTAAAATTTCAGTTGAGCTTGGTCTCTGTTATAAAGTCTTGCCTGGACTGCTATAGTATAATGAACTAGTATCTTCTGCAAATGCCAATCCCTGCAGGTTTGAGCAAAAGTTGGGATATGGTCTGGCATGAAAGGTGAAGGTGGCATTTTGCTCGTAGTTGTATTTAATTTTAAATATTTATGTGTTGATCATTTTGCTTTCCCAACTAGTCTGTCAACTGTTGGCCATGTTTTTGTGCTACTTTTTAATCCCCAGTAATATTGTTTCTGAGTAATATTCCATTGTAATCCCCAGTAATCATAATAGTGATTATATATTTATAGCAGATAGGAAATACTCAGCGTTTCTTGAGTAAACCATAAGTTTATGGTATAATGGAACTGATGTGTATTTTTTTCCTTCCTCTGTATAGGGATGCAATAGCTGAAATCCGAGCTATATGCATTGAGGAGATTGGCATTTGGATGAAAATGTATAGTGATGCTTTTCTTAATGACAGTTATTTAAAATACGTTGGTTGGACTATGCATGATAAGGTAAGATGTGCCCTACCGACTGCTTATCTATCTCCACATAAGCATGACTGCCTACAATTCTTTTTCAAAACTGAGTTATCAGCGTGTTCGTATACTTGAGGCCACATCCGTATAAGGTTCCCCCTTACTCTTTTCTGTCTTCTGTGTGAAAAATTGGTTTCTGGCACATAAAGTTCTGTAGAAGTTTTGAATTTTGGCCACTGATTTACTCTTCACTGTTGAATTTTTGCATTGAAATATGAGTTCATGTAGGTACTGATGGTGAGACATCTTGTAGAACACTAAAAAGAGCCCTTACTATGTTATTTGAGTTTTATATATTTTTTTAAAAAACATTCCTCAGTTTTTTCTTGTGCTGGATATAGAATTCAAGGAACCAGTGATGTACCACTGAGGTACATTGCTAACCCTTCTTCACTTTTTAACCTGTTTTGATAAATATATACCTTAGATTTTACCTTACATTGTGGCATATGACCTTTTAATCTTTTTCTTAAACTGTCTCTTCATTAAGCTTTTAGTTCTTTTTACGTATTCCTTCCAAGCATCACAATGTGAAATAATACTATGATCTTTCACAGTAATTTTGCTCTGAACAGACTTTCAAAAATTTATTTGACCTACAGAAATAGTAACCCCATAACTATTTAATCTTAGTCATAGTACTGATTTTACTTTTGCATTACCAGAAGTTGACAGTTTCTGAAGAAATGCTATTGTTTAAAATTTTAAAGCAAAAAGTTCTATATACATCTTTAATATTCAGACTGTAAATAAAGAATTTGAATGCATTTTCTCTTCTTGTTTCTTTTAGCAAGGTGAGGTAAGACTCAAGTGTCTTACTGCTCTACAAGGGCTTTATTATAACAAAGAGCTTAATTCCAAACTGGAGCTATTTACCAGTCGGTTCAAGGTTCGTATTAAGTATTTTAAAATTACTTACAAATTGAAATATTTTATTTTTCTTTTAAAACAGTTTTAATGTTTTGTTCTTAGGATAGAATTGTGTCTATGACCCTTGACAAAGAATATGATGTTGCAGTACAAGCAATAAAATTACTGACTCTTGTTTTACAGTAAGTATGTATTTATTGTGTATTATTAATGTATAGATACTTAAGTAATACATTAGAATACTTTGTTCAGATTCACCTAGGTCTAAATTTTAATAGTTTAAAGTATATCTACTGCTCCATGTTTATTTTATTAATTTTTTTGAAGTGTGACCTCTGTCTGTTGCTCGGGCTGATCTTGAACTCCCAAGCTCAGGCATTTCTCTTGCCTTGGCCTCCAGAGCAGCTGAGGCTACAGGTGTATACCACTGCTCTCAGAAATTTAATTTTGTTCATGTAACATTGATAAGCCACAGGAAGAAGGAACCATTAAACATGAAATTCTGATTGGTTAGGAATTCATGTGTACCCACTTTCTTGGCACTTTTTCTTAGATTCAAGTGTATCAAAATTGATATTACATTTTGTCACATTTTCAGAATATGAGCATTTATTGAATCTTCTGCTTTTGTTTTCTATTATCTATAAATGGTCTGAACTTAAGACATACCATGTTGATGTGTAATACTGATACTATGCTACTTTGCCTTTTAAAAAATTATACTAAAATAAGATGTAAAACTTACCATTAAGCCCAGTTTTAAATATAAGTTGAACTGGTTTTAAGTGTATTTACTTTGTTACACAACTGTTAAGTACTATTCATCTCTAGAACTTTTTCCATCATTCCAGTTCTTGCTTCACTCACTCCTCATTTTGGTCCCTACCCCCACACTCTGATAACCAGTATTTTACTTTCGTGATTTTTCCATTTTCTGAATATTTGATGTAAGTAGACTCAACAATTTTTGTCCTTATGTATGACTTATTTCATTCAGCATAATATGTTAAAGCTTTACCTATATTATAGTATATGTCAGAAATTTTTGCATTTTTTAAAGATTTTTTTTTTGAGTTTTTGAAATGTAAGCAGTTCAGGCTGGCCTTGAACTAACAGAGATCCTCTGCGTCACTTTCTGACTGCTGAGATTTCAGGCATTTGCCACCATGCCTGGCAGGAATTTTTTGCTTTTTATGGTTGAATAATATTTTGGTGTATGTATACATCATATTTTCCTTATCTATTCATTGTTTATAGATCTTTTTTTGTTTGTTTTTGAGCCAGAGTCTCACTGTGTAGCTCAGGCTGGCCTGAAACTCATAGCAATCCTCCTGGCTTAGCCTCCCAAGTGCTAGGATTACAGGTGTGTGCCTCCACATGTTGCCTGTTGATGGATCTTTAGGCTGTTTCCACTTTTTGATTCATATAAATATTGTGGTAATGATACAGGTGTACAGGCATCTGAGATCCTGCTTTCAGTTCTTTTATGGGTACCTAGAAATGATACTGTGGACTATGTAATTATTTTATGTTTAATTTTTTTGTAGTAGAAATCAGATCCAGGAATTCAGATGTGTTTACCACTGAGCTACATCCCCAGACAGTGTTTTATCTGTTTGTTTGTTTGCTTGATTTTTGAGGAAGCACTATACTGTCTACTATAGTGGTTATGTCCTTTTGTATTCCTAATTTCTTCATATCCTTACCACCAGGTTTTTTAGGTAAAATATTTATTGCTAGGTATGATGACTTACATTTTTAATCCTAGGTATACAGGAGACTGCACCAAGAGGATCACAAGTTAGATATCAGCCTGAATGAATTAATGAGACTATCTCAAAAAATAACAGGGATTTAGTTCAACCAGTAGAATGTCCTTGGGTTCCATTCCCAGCAATACATGCATGCATTCATGCATGCATAAATAAATAAATAAATCGACCAACTAGCAGTGTTAGTGCCTACCAATTATTTGGATGGTTATGCTGAATCTCTTTTAAAATTAACCTTAAGTCAAATTAATACAAACATTTTATAACTAGAAATAATTAATGAGCAATGTATATGAACCAAGTTAATCCAAGCAAGGCTAAAGCATACCTGAATTCTCAGCTATTTGGAAGAGCAGCATAAAATTAATAGAATACAACTAAAGAACATAAAATTAAAATGATATTGTCCTTAAGCCTTTATATTTAAGATGATCCACATAATAACTGTAAATGCATCTTTTTTTAAAATTTTAAAGAAAGACTAAACAAAGTAGAAAATGGGTAGAAGCAATACATACGTTAAGAGAAAAGATAAATAGTTGATGTTTACATACTGTTTTACAAATAGCTGTTCAAGATATAAAAGTGGAACATACAAAGTGAGAATTCAAACAGCAAGACTGCAACCAGTTCTGTTCAACTACCCAACAAAAACCTAATAATATGGTTGTCAATTCTATATACTTAAATATACATGCAGTTATCCATATCTTCATTTATGTTGGGATTAAACAAACTAAAGCAGGCTAAAATCATTCTGAACAAAGAATAATGGTATTGCTGGGTTTCATGTAATGACACTCCAGGATCAGCACTGGTTACTTCAGTGTCTTTTTCTTCAAAGTATTTGTTCATTTCATGATGTGTCATAAGATCAGTTCTCATAAACTGTTTATAGATTCTACACATGCATGTGTGTAGAATCTTAACATGTGTTTCTATCATTTCTATATTAGAGAGAGAAACAAAGACAAAACAAAACATATTCCTATAAACACATGAAACCAAATAAGACATATAAGATCGTTGTACAAGGAGTTCTACTATAGTTCCTGTGTTGTCTCTTGTTATCTTCAAGAGTATTGGCTATATCATCAGACGTAGTATAATTGAATATATCAGTACATAACAGTATTAATAAAAACACAACTTTGAATATAGTATAGAACTTCAAAAACAGGCAGTTATCAAACCAGAATGTATATCGTAGTGTCTTATCATCTTCAGTGTAGTTGCCTATAGTCTCAGACTTGATACTGTTGATCATATCAGTTTTGAATAAAATCTGTCAATACCAAACAGCAATCAAACAAACCAGATTTAACTAAGATTAGTCATGATAAAACAGTATAAGTCATACAGGGCTCCAGATTAAGATAATAGGAAATTAAAATGATTACTGTGCTATATCCTGATGTTTTTGGGAAAACTGTCTGTGTCCTCAAATCTAATGCAAGTAGACAAACTGAGACAGAAAAAAAATCTATCAAAAAAAGAATAAAGTCTATCTAAGCAGAGTGGTAAGAGTAATATGGGCTTTAAGTCCTGATACACTATTAGCAATATCTTCTGCCATCTTTTTAAAGACTCTCCCTGCCCTTTTACATCTCTAGGTTGCACTGTGCATTTTTGGGTCTGACCAACACCCTTGGTTTTAAATTGTGGGGGAGGGGGAAACCTGCTATTTACCTAAGGGTTTCTGAACCTTCCTTCTCTAGGACTTGATCTCTAATTGTATTCCTTTACCTATTAAAGCCTGTTTTTACAACCTTTCCACAAATAATGGTCTAGTTGCCTCTATTACTTTCTGATTCTCTGTCACATAGAGCATTGTTTTCTCCTGTTTGATTTTCAGTCCGTGTACTCTAGTTGCCTCTATTACTCTCTAATTCTCTGTCACATAGAGCATTGTTTTCTCCTATTTGATTTTTAGTCCATGTACTTGTTTTCATGTTAATTATATTTCCTATAAATAGCATCTCGGTGGACTCTACCTCCTGATCCACTCCACGAGTGGTTCTTTTTTTTAATTTAGTGTATGAAGGCCATCTGTATTAGAGATTATAACCAACCTTCTCTGCCTCATTTCTGTTATGCTCCTTTTTGCCATGAGTTGTCTGCTTGTCTTCTTTCTGTTTTCTGCTCTATTCATTGAGGCCTGTCTGCCACTGTTCCTGGAATCCTAGTTCCTCTCTCTCCTAGAATCCTAGAATTCTCTCTCTCTAAAATTCCCTGCAGTATTCTCTGTAGAGGTGGATTAATGGTTGTGAATTTCTGAAGTTCCTCTTTGTCTTGGAAGCATCTTGTTTCTCCATTAATTTCTAGAGACAGTTTAGCAGAGTATATCCATCTGGGGTGGAGGTTATTTTCTTTCAGGGCTTGGAATATTTCGCTCCAGGCTCCTCTTGACTTGATGGTTTGTGTTGAGAAGTCTGCCGTTATTCTGATGGGTCTTCCTTTATAGGTTATCTGTTTCTTGTCTCTAACAGCTTTTAATAGTCTGTTCTTACATTTAATTTCTGGGATCTTGATTATTATATGCCTGGGTGTAGCTCTGTTTTGGTTGTAGGTGGCTGGATTTCTGTATGCCTCATACATCTGCGTATCATTTCCTTTTCCTATGTTTGGGAAGTTTTCCTTAATTATTTCTGTGAATAGCCATTGTAGTTCCTTTGTTTGTACCCCTGCTTCTTTTTTTCACATTCTTTATTCTCAAGTTATAGATCCTCTTGTCATCTTCTAGCCTTTGTATTGTTACTGCTTCTGTCCTTGTTATTTTTAAAATGTTTCCTTTCATAATCCCACATTTTGGATAATCTATCCTTAGTTTCTTTCAAGCTGATTTGCCATCTTTCCATAGAGTTTTTAATTTCCTGGTAATCTCTTTGAATCTGCTTCATGTATTCTATATTTTGTTTATATTCTTCATCAAATGGTTCTCTCCTTTGTTTGAGTTTCTCACTTCTTCCATCTGTGTCTTCTTGAGGGGTGCTTAGCATCTCTTTTATTAATCTTCTTATATCTTACTTTCCTTGGCTAAATATTTCATTTTTGAACTTGTCTGTGATGTCCCAAAGATATCTCTTTATGTCAGGCGGTGCAGTGTCTGATATTGCATGTTTGCTGTTCGCATTCTCCTTTATATTTAACCTGTACTTGGTTCAGTGTTCTCAGGGTTGGGACCTGGGGACTTTTTTTCTTGTTTCCTCTTCCCTTTTTTGTTTCTTCCAGGAGGCCCCACTTTCTTTTTTTGTTGATTTTAATACTTCTGAAGCACACTGGCTAGATGACCCTTCCCACTGCAGTGTGATAGTGAGTTGCAGACAGAGACAGCATATGCTAGCCCCTCCCCTCCAGATCAGTCAAGCTGCTGAGGCCTGCACTCTATTGCTGTGTGCCGCCTCCCCCTGGGTCAGTCAAACTTCTGAGGCCTTCATTGCGTTAGTGTAACCTATTGGGTCTCAGACAGGTTGCGTGACCAAGCCTAGCTTACTCCACCCATCCCATTGGGGAAGAGAACAACTGACTGAAGTCACTGCTGCCCCTTGTAATTGCCAGTGCTGCCTGGTTACAGAATGTCATCTGCCAGAGCCCCCCTTTTTCCAGTCCCATCACTTATCACAGGTTGATGCAGGCTCCCTGCCATCTCAGCTCTCTGTTTGGCTGGCCGACCCCCAACCTCAGTGTGACTGCACCTCCAGTGAGTCGAAGCAGCGGAGCCTTGGATGGCTAAGCAAGTCACCCACTGTGAACCTTTAGCTGTTCCAAAAATAGCACTGGGACTGTATGTTTGATTGGTTCTTCTCACCAATTCAATTCTCTCTGTTCAGGATTTCCCATGCTATGTTATGTTAAGCCTCTGTAGCCAGCTGTTATCTGTCTGCCATCTTTGCTTGAATCCCTAAAGGCATCTTTTTAAAAAATCATTTTAATCTAGTCCTCATGTTCATATGGACAGTTTATCAATTAAGATGCCTGGTATGTTGGCTCATGCCTGTAATTTTAGTTTTTCAGGAGACTGAGATAGGGGGAACATAAGTTTGAGTCCTACCTGTGCAACTTAGTGATTTAGAGAGAGAGATTTTGTCTCAAAATAAAGATCTGGTGATACTGTATATGGTACTTCAATGTGAAGGCTGTGGATGCAGTGCCAGTGCTGTGTATAGCCTGCTGTCTTGGTTACTTTTCTCTTGTTGTTGGGACAAAATACTCAACATAAAAACAATAAAGGAAGTAAAGGTTTATTTAGCTCACTGTTTGTCGAGGTTTCAGTCCATAACTGGCTTGCCCCAATGCAGGGTGGCATGGCATGAGGGCAGTACTTCAAGGCAGCAGACAGCAAAAGCAACCAGAGCAAAAGTTGGGAAATAGCAAGTCTCTTTTCCTTCTTTACATTGTACCTAGGCCACACCCCTCTCCAGGCCGTCCTCTTGCATTGGATGGAGATATTTATAAAGTAAGAATGCAGATTCCATGCTGTGTCTCGTAGTTAAACTTCTAAACTTCTCAAGTTGATACAATGTATCAACCATGATACCCACCAAAAGAAAATTTCTGGTAAAAATAAATGATTATTAATCCAATGTGAATTTAAGTTGTATTGTAAAATCATAGTGATTTAAAAATTTTGTTGATGTTACATAAATAAATAGATCATAGGAAACAGTACAAATGTAAATAGATCCAGAGTTGTTAGTATAGGATAAAGGTAGCATTTCTTTAATAAGAATTTGTAAGTTTTTTTGTGGTAACTGGGCTTAGAGGGAGGGAAAAATAATGTTGGATTTCTATTTCATTCCTTCAAAAATAATTTTAAGTGAAAACAAGGGAAGATTTAACAATTTTATTTGTTGTAGAAATATGTATAAACTTTTTCTGAGCTGGGCATAAAGCCTAGACATAAAATCTCAATGAATTAACTTCATCAAAACTCGAATATCTAGTTGCCATAAAATACCATGAATGATCTTAGAAACAAATTTCAGATTAAGTGAAACATTTTACTTGAACAGCATTAATTTCTGTAAATCAATGAAAAGAAATTCAATAGGAAGAATCAAACATGGATCAGATCATTAAACATAAATTTAAACATGAAAAAGTTCAACTATTCTTAGAGAAATGTATGTTAAATAAAACTTTATTTGCTTGAGGAAGATCAGAATTATTTGGTAATACATTAGGTGTTGAAGCTGTGTAGAAAATGTCCCTGATACATAGTTGAAGGGCGTATAAATTGGTTTAAACTCTTTATAGAAATATTAGGCTCTGTTTATGAAAGTTGAAAATGTCTACATTATCTTAATAAACAGTGTATTAAAGAATTAAATTAATGCTCATGATAATAGTTATCATACGTACTTTTCTGGATTATTTCATGTAATAACAGCATTCCTGTAAGCAATGACTTCTTTTTATTTATATGAAATGGCCCACACTGTAGTAATTACAAGGAATGCACTTTTAAAGTTACCTACATTTTCTCATACTTCATTTCTTTTTGAAAACCAGTCTTTTTTTTCAATTAAAGAGAAAGAAAGAAAAAAAGAATCATGCAGAAAAAGGGTAGAAATAATACAGAATTACAGAAAAATAAACAGTAAGAAATCACCAGTTAATAAGTTACATACTGTCATCTTAGAAATACTTGCTCAGGTTACATAATTAAAGTATTTAAAGTGACATTCAAATAGTGACACTGCCAACAGTTCTGCTCAATGATCCAACAAAAACTTAGTAATATGGTTATCAGTCCTACACACTTGTTTTTTATCTTAAGGAGGGTAATATTAAACATATCAAAACAGAACAAAACAGTTCAAAAAGAAACAATTTAAAGAAATACAGATTTCAAAGCAAGTCTACTGGAAATCTTTACTGTCTATGTTATTGTCTCTAGTTTTCTTCCAAATAGTTGTCCCCATCTTCACACACATTGAATACATACTGCATATTATAGAACTAATCAAATCATACAAGATGATGAAGGCTTTTTAGCTCTTCAAAATCTGATATTGGGGAAGACAATAACTACCATAGTGTCTCATTCTCTTTGTAGTAAATAGCTGTCCTTATCTTTACGTATGCTGAAATTGAACTTAAGAGACTAGACTAATACCACTCTGAACTAAAACTAAAACCAGTCTTAGATATTATATTTTCCCTCAATTTTAATTAGATTTAAAATTCAAATAGTATACACTTACTATGAATATATTGACTGACTTTTAGAATTAAAAACTACCAGTACTCTACATGTTTCTATAGCTTCTTTGCCTCCTTCCTAACACTATGAATATAGAAACAACATATTTGTTTCTAATAGTTTTATTCGAGGTAATAGACATAGTTTATTTATGTTGATTTTCAACCATGTGCATACCTAATTAGTAAAACTTGTTAGAAATGTTCCTTCTAAATCTAATGACTACTGCAGATTTTCAGCATTTTAACTGGTGTTTCCCCCCCTCACAACAGTCTGGGTAATTTAAATCAATGACACTTCTATTTGAAACATTATAGAGTTTTTTTAAGAAGTAAATTTTTAGAAACCTAACTTTTTGAAGTCTTTATTACATTAGGAAAACAACGTAAAAAGCATCTGTTCTTTTCTATCTAATGTTTTTGGACTTTTCTTTCTTGGTGGTGCTTCTCTGATTTTTAATTTCCATGTAATAGTAAATACCTAGATTATTTAATCTCATATTAGAGTAGAAGCTTATTAGGAATGAAAAAGTGCCAGTGGCCAAGATTTTGAATGTACTGTCAGCAACTCCGAAACCCTGTGGTTGATGCACTCTAATTCCAATTTTCCAAGAGTTTTTATGGCTTGTTTTGTTCTTTAAAAATAAGATCAGGAGAATTAATACTACATGTCAGACTTTCTAAGGATAGATTACAGTTAATTAACCTTAGACACTTAAATTTTTAACTACTTGAAAAATCTTCTTGCATTTCCTTGTGTGTTGTGCAGTACATGATGGATAAAGTATTCTTACTGTGGAATAAGTAATGATATTTTAGTGCTTTATAATGTCACATTATCTTTCCTAATTATTAGTGTGAGATAAATACAAAGTGTTATCTGTGACTTTAACTGTGTATTTTGCATGCCACCACTTTCTCTACTAGTTTTCATTATTTTGTGTTCATTTTTCTTCAGCATCCATGTCACATTTATTTCTAAGCATTTACATCCTATATTTGCATCCTATATACACTTTCAATTTTACATTATACTTTCTAGCATACTTGGGATTCAACCCAGGGCCTTGTGTCTGCTACCAAGTGCTCTGTGGCTGAAGCTGTAACTCAAACCCTCACATTTTTCTTTGATCTTCATAAAATTCCTAACTTATTAGTTGGCAAAAGATGATTTTTGATAAAAGGCACTAATTTTTTACCAAAAGGTGATAGTGTGTTTTGATTTATTTTAATTTTTTAGATTTGTTAAATGTAACAGTGTGGGTTTTTTGTTTTGTTTTGTTTTATATTTGTTTTGAGACAGGGTATTCCTATGCAGTTCATGCTGGCTTTGAACTCACTATGTAGCCGACGCTGGCCTTGAACTCTTGACGATTTCTGTCTCAGCCTCCAGAGTGCTAGGATTACAGATGTGCACCACTATATCTGTCTATAATGGCATGAATTTTTGCATTCTCAGTGTGCTTAGAATTAAGACATTACTAAAAACCCTGTAATTTACTTCTTTTTAGGAGTAGTGAAGAAGTTCTTACTGCTGAAGATTGTGAAAATGTCTATCATCTGGTTTATTCAGCTCATCGACCAGTAGCAGTAGCAGCTGGAGAATTTCTCTATAAAAAGTAAATTTATATTTATGTTATTCCTTTTCCAGAGTATTCTTTCATAAAAATTTATTGCAATACACTTGATAAGTACATATATATATATATATATATATATATATATATTAAACGTATTTAAAAAAATGGTTGCCTGTTAAATTGAAGCTTTCATACTTTTACTATTTTCTTTAATAGTTTTAATTTCTTCTGTCCAGGCTTTATATTTTTGGTGGGGGGGCAATGCTGGAGATTGAACTTGGTTTCATGCATGCTAGTCAAATGATATAATACTATCCTAATGCAATGCATTATTTCTAATTTACGTAACTATGTTATAATGTAAAGAGTGATTTCTTCTTCCTTTTTTTTGAAATAGGTTCTTGCTATATAGTTGAGGGATGGCCTTGAACTCACTGTGTAGCCCGTGATAGCCTCAAACTTGGCGCAATCTTTCTGCCTTAGCTTCCTAAGTGCTGGTATTAAAGGCATGCCCCACCATACCTGGCAACTGATCTTTTCTTATTTTTGCTCTTCTACTACTTCAGCTTCCAAATATTACAATATTTAGCCTTAAGCGTATTTTTTGTTTTAAGAAAATTTAAGTGCTGTTAGATATAATAATCCTATGACCTCTTTATTTTTTATTTATTTATTTTAGAGACAGAATCTTGGTGTGTAGTTCAGGGTGGCCTTGAACTCACAGTGATTCTCCTGCCTTAGCTTCCCCAGTGCTGGGATTACAGGCATACAGCACCATGCCCAGCTGGTTTATTTCCTTTAATGATGCTAGTTACCAATGAGATTAGGAATTAGGAACAGTAGTGTGAATCTCTGCTCACAAAAAAAATGAATAGCAATTGTTAGATGGTGATTTAAAATAATATTTTGAGCCATGCTGTCTAAATTATTTTAGTAATGTTTACTAACATGCCCATTTGGGGTGCAGCATTTATTATAAAGAGTAGTTGATTTTAAACATCCATCCACCTGACAAGTTTCTATTAGTAATCATACAATTTTAGTTCTCTTTTGTTGTATCTGTGGAAAAATTGTCACATTATTCATAGATAAAGGCCGTTGATTTGGGATACTGTTTCAAGAATAGAAAGAAAAATGTAAGTTCAGCTTTAAAGAGAATTACACATCATAGATTGTTGTGCTTAAATGTCATAGGTTAATGTATTTTTCTCTATGAAATTAAACATTTGTGTAAAGTACTATGAGGGCTCTGAAAAGAAGTGCGTGCGTGCGTGTGTGTGTGTGTGTGTGTGTGTGTGTGTGTGTGTGTGGTAGTACTGGGGATTGAACTCACAACGTTGCACTTGCCAGGCACTTGTTTATGTCATTGAGCTAAATCTGTAGCTCTAAACAAGAAGTACTTTATAACAGTATAATCAACTTCAGAAGGCATTTTAAGACTTGAAAGTACTGTCAAGACTAGAATAGAAAGGGTTCTTGCTAATTTGCTTAATGGCTTAGTGTTGGACAACATATCTACTCAGTTCTCTACTACTACATTGTTAGTTACTTAAATATGAAATCCAAAAGGTAATTTTTAAAAAATTAGCTAGCTTGTTATTGTTTTAAAATAAATACTTTCCTTTGTCTATAGGCTCTTCAGTCGTAGAGATCCAGAGGAGGATGGAATAATGAAAAGAAGGGGAAGACAAGGTCCAAATGCCAACCTTGTTAAGACATTGGTATTTTTCTTTTTGGAAAGTGAGGTTAGTTTTATCTTTTCAGTTCTTATATTCAGAGATTATATGAAAAGCCATTAAAATGATGTGTATCTTGAAGTTTCTAGTTACTAGCACATGTTTGCAGTATGTAATAAAACATTCATTGTGGGGTGTTGGTACATGGACATATTACATCAGAATATTTTATGCTTCTTTTTCCTCTTCTTACCACTTTTTTTTTGCATCCCTAAATCCCCTTTACATCTGGAAAATGTCTGCCTCCCTATTTCCTATCATCTTTTTATTTTTCTATTAAAATTATGCATACTTTGAGTTTCTCATATAAAAGAAAACATATGGTATTTAACCTGTCTAATTCATTTTACTTAGTGTTGTGGTCTTACGCTATATCTATTTTCCTTTAAAAATGCCTCAGATCTGTCTTTAGGGCAGAATAGTACTCCATTGTGTATAAACGACACATTTTCTTTTTCCATCATTCATCTGTTGATGGACATAAAGGACATTTCCAGGATTTAGCAATTTTTGTCCTGCTATCAACATGACTGTGTATGTGTCATTGAAATATGATATCTTTAACTCTTTCAGGAAGATACCCATAAATTAATTAGCTGGATCACTGAATTTCTAATCTTAGTGTTTTGAGCACTCTCCATAGTGATTTCCATAGTGGTTGTACTGGTTCACATTCCCATAAGAAATGCAGAAGGGTTCTTTTTTCCACATGCAACCTTTATAGCATTTTTAAAAATTCATGATGATAGCCATTCTTTATTTTCTAATGGAAGATGCTGAACATTTTTTTCATGTACTTATTGGCCATTTGTACTTTTTTTTAGTACATACTTTTAAGAAGTATATATACTTTTAAGTATATACTCATTTCAGTTGCCCATTTTTGGATCATGTCTTTGATTTTGGGGAATTCTAAATTTTTTAGAAAATTTTTCATGTATTTTAGATATAAGTCATTTGTGAAGTAGCTGGCAAATTTGTTCCCATTATATGGGTTGTCTCTTCACTCTTGGTTGTTTTTGTTGTTGTTACTGTTGAGAAGCTTTTAAATTTTTTTTGTAGTCTCATTTGTTGATTCTTGGTGTTATTTCTCGTGCAGTTGAGATTCTTTTTGGAAAGTCCTTATATCTGTGTCTTCAAAATTTTTACGCATTTTTATCGTTCAGCAGATTCACTGTTTTCATTTTAATTTGTAGGTCTTTGATTGTTTTAGATTTAATTTTGTCACAGCATTAACAATACGGGTCTAGATTCATTCTGCATTTGGCTAACTAGTTTACCCAGTATCAGTGTATGTGTCTACTGTGACTATAATATATCTAAACTATTCCATAAAATTGTTTAAAATATACTTTCTACTTTTAGTAAAATGTTAAAACAGTAGGTTTTATGTGTACTTCCGGGAACATGGATTTTGTAATTGCTAAAGCTTTATTACCAGTTGTCTCCTGTTTACTGTTTATAACTTTTAATGGTTTAGTTACTCAACTTTTCTAAGTTCCAGTTTTCTAGGAAAAGGTAGATTATAATTTCTCAGGTAACCCTGAGATAAATTCAAATATAATATATACCTAGCACATAAGTTGCAGTTTCCTAGGAAAAGGTAGATAATAATTTCTCAGGTAACCCTGAGATAATTCAAATATAATATATACCTAACACATTAGAAATTCTCAGATGCTAAGGCCTCCTGTTAATAGTCTTGTACATGTCAGTTTTCTTTTAGTTGAAAATCTACTTGTAGACTTTTCTAAGAGGGAGCACATTCATTATAAGTGTTCAAATAATGCATTACTTAATTAGCTTCATGACCTTTTAATTTTCTAATTGTTTCTGCATATACATATACATTTGGTTTTCAAATATTGTCTTATATCCTACAACTGTGATAAATTCACCTGGCAATTTTTCAATAGATTTCATTGGGTTTTCTACAATGTATAGTCAGATAATTTGCAAATAAAAATCATTTTTCTTCCTTTCCAACATTTTTTCCAATAATTTTTATTTTTTGCCTGATTGAACTTGTTATAACTGCCAAAACAATGTTGAATAACAGTGATAAGGGTAGACCAACATCTTTGGATTGTTCCTGATCTTATTTAGAGTTATCCAATATTTTAGTATTACTTATGTTGTAGTTTTTAGGTATTTGTGGTGGTGTTTATTATCAGTTTGAGGGTGTTATTTCTACTCCTTCTATTGCTACAAAAGCTTTCAAAAGTGCGTGAGTAGATACTGCAGTCTCTAAAAATGTATTTTTTATGAATTTGTTGAGATGATTGTTTATCTTTCATTAAGTTATTTTGTTGAATTATATTTGTTTTTTTGTGATACTTAGAATTAAACTCAGGGCCTTCCCAGTAAGCTGCATCTCTGGCCTTTTTTACTTTTAGCTTTTATTTTTAGACAAGGTCTCACTAAGTTTCTCATGCTTTGTTTGACCTTGTAATTCTCTTGTCTTAGCGTTTCAGAATGCTTGGATTACAGGCATATACTACAATGCCAGGCTAATGTGTTGAATAATATTGAATGATTTTTCCAGTGTCAAATCAACTTTGTATTCCCATGATACTTGGGCATGATTTTTTTTTTTTTGTGTGTGTGTGTGTGTGTGTGTGTGTGTTTCTGTACCTAATGCAGGGCTTCAAACATTCTAGGCAAATATTCTTTTACTGAACCACAACCTCAGCCTTTATGATCTGGAACATATACATGTGTACAGATTCCATTTGCCAATGTTTGAGAGTATTTCCTCTGTTCATAAAAGGTGTTCTTTATTTTATTTGTGGTGTTGGGAATTGAACCCCCATGGCCTTCAAACTCAACTTGCATCCTCAGCCCTATATTTTACGTTTGAGACAGGGAGAGTCTCACTAATTTGACTAAGTGGGAATTGAACTTGCAGTCTTTCTGCCTCTTCCTGCAGGATGACTACAGGTGTGTGCCACTGGAAAGGGTGGTCTAAAGTTTAAAAAATTGTAACATTCTTGATATGTGATACTATGGCAGGAAGCACTAGGGTCCTTTTAAGTTTCACAGAATGAATTAATTGAGAGTAATAACTAATGTATTATTGGGTCTAAATAAGCAGTAAGTATACCTTTCATCTTAATGTGTGTGATACAGCAGACTAAACTTAGGCCCTTTATACTGAGCTCTCAGACACTTTTTTTTTTACTTTGAGATGGTGTTTTGCTAAGTCACCAAGTTGCACAGTTTGGAGTCAAATTTAATCCCTATGCATGTGTCATCATCCCAACCTATTAGAATAACAGGCATGCACCACAATGTCTGGCTATGCATATAGTCCTTTCATAAAGTACACTTCATTTTAATGTTTTAATTGCTACCATGAAAAATACTTAATGATCCTGCCAAAGTTGACTTACACACACAAGCTACAACAGTTTTTCTCTGTCCTTGTTTTGTTCTTCTGAGTCATTAGTATGTTGTTTCAATGTGCATTTGCTCTTTAAATTTTAGTTGCATGAACATGCAGCATACCTTGTGGATAGCATGTGGGACTGTGCTACTGAGCTGCTGAAAGACTGGGAATGTATGAATAGCTTGTTGCTAGAGGAGCCACTTACTGGAGAGGAAGGTAAGGATATTTAATTGTGGTATTTTTATTGTATAGACAGTTTCAAAAATGGATTTTACTTAGCTGTTTTGTTAAAGTAGTCAATACAAAAATCCTACTTTGTAGAAGATGTAATTACTATTAAATTTTATTTCTATCTGGGTTCATCTTTCCTTTGGATATGTAGATAAGTGTTGGACAGATTTGGAATGTTAAGGGTTTTTAGGAAGGTTTAACTTGTTCTGATCTTTTTCTTTGGTAAGTGATAGCATTTTCCTTTGTACTTTAGGCCAGATTTTGTTCATAGAAGAAACTTACATAATTGTTACAAGTGGCTTATAGGGACAAGAAACAGGTTAACTCTCTGATTTTTTTTTAGCACTAACAGACAGACAAGAGAGTGCTCTGATTGAAATAATGCTTTGTACTATTAGACAAGCTGCTGAATGTCATCCTCCTGTTGGAAGAGGGACAGGAAAAAGGGTATGCCTTTTTTTTAATATACTAAACAATGTTTCTCTTTTCTGAGTATCTCTAAAAAAATCCAACCTTAACCTTGGAACTAATTTTTTTCCTGAACAATTGCTCATATGTATATATGCTCAATGTAAATTTTATTTATTTGTTTACTTATTTTTTTAAGACAGATTCTTGCTGTGTAGCTCAGGATGGCCTTGAACTCACTATGTAGCATAGGCTGGCCTCAATCTCTGGGGTGATCCTCCTGCCTTAACCTCCTAAGTATTGGGATTATAACCATACGCCACCATGCCCAGCCAATGTAAATTTTAAAATATTAATTTTTTAAGCACTAGCAATTTGAGAAATTGTGATTTGTCATGAGTTCTTCATTACTACATGAAATACTGATTGACTGTGCCTGCCTTCAAGACTAAATGTAGTGTACCATTTTAGAATAGTGCATTTGTGTGTTTTGGTTTTTCTTATATCTTTGCTTTCCCTTTCTTATAAAATTAGAAATAAAATGAAAGATCAACTACTCATTAAAATTGCTACTGAAGTTAACTTATGTGGGATATCATGGGATCAAATTTTAATTTGTTATTGCTGAGTTCACACATACTTCCAGTTTGTATCAACAATTCTACAGGCTTTTGATCTTTTTTGATCATGAAGCAGAAAAGTAGGTTTTTATATTATGATCTAGTATACATGAATGTATGTATATTTGTGTACAACTGAAAAAGAATTAGATCTAATTCTAGTGAAACTTACAATATGTGATACATTCTGTATTTTTTCCATTCCTAATTGTGAATTCTTTTTCCCATGTCAGGGATCAAACCTAAGGCTTTTGTTAATGTTAGCAAAGTGCTCTACACACTTTATCCCCTATTTCTGTTTTTTAAAAAATTATGTTGCTGTTTTTTTAAAGGTTATTGCAACTTAACTATTTTTAGTTCATAACTTGTGTTGTGACCCACAGCCTATTGTAAGATAGAGTGGTGTTCAATTTCTTAATAAACTCCCAATCTGCATTTCCTATTCTATTTTTCCTTCTACTCAAAGGTACAGTTGATTAGTCTAATTTGATGCTGATTTTTCCTATAAGACTATTCACTTTTTTGGTGGCTTTGTGGTTCTATTGTTGGTTGTATTTTGTTTTTAAGTAGTTAAGTTATTCTCCTTAGTATCACTTTTAGGGTTAAAGTTTTGTAGTAGAATTTTTTGTAACCATTATTTAAAATAAAGTTTAGTTACTTCATTACTCTGTAATGAAGAATTCACAATCTTATGTCCTAATTAAAACTAAAACATTTGACAGGGATAATGGGCTTCATAAATTCTTATGTCTTTGTGTAATAAGGTGCTGACAGCGAAAGAGAAGAAGACCCAGTTGGATGACAGGACAAAAATCACTGAACTATTTGCTGTCGCCCTTCCTCAGTTATTAGCAAAAGTAAGTTTACGTTAATATCAGAGTATTACTAAGAAATTATAGCTCTTTTTCAGAATGCTGCAGAAAATGTTACAAAGTTTACTTATTGTGATGTTTTTAACATGACTCTTTTATTTCAAAGTACTCTGTAGATGCGGAAAAGGTGACTAACTTGTTGCAGTTGCCTCAGTACTTTGATTTGGAAATATATACCACTGGACGATTAGAAAAGGTAAAAGTGTTTTTGGTGAATGAAAAACCTTGAATACAAAATGTTAGTTTAGTTCCTCTCATCATATTGTTTGCTTATATATGTTAAATATTTAGTGAAGCCTATATCTTTTATATTTTAAAGCGGTTGGTTTTAGAGAATGGTGCTAATGAATTTTCCCTTTGCTTTATGCCCATAGCTATCTATACTTTCATTCTAAATTTATAAGGATTTGCCATGGGTGTTTTTTTTTTACATTATTTAATAAGAGTTAGAAAATAAATGAAGTCAGCAGTTCATTGAACATTTTTAATATATTTCAGAAATTTGTGTAAGTTCTTTATATGTATCAACATTCTTACGTGAGCCCCATGAGATAGATAATACCCTTCCCAATAATGTTAAGTGAATCAGTATGGATGTATCAGTGTGTTTATTTATGCATGTATTTATTTTTGTGCCGGGATCGAACTCACGACCTTGCAATTGCCAGGAAGGTGCTTACGCTGCTGAATTAAATGGTCAGCCCTTATCAGTGTATTTATTGACCATAGCTTAGGTGTTGTTACTGTATCTAAAAATGTTCACTGAGGTGGTTTGGTGACATAGTCACTTTGTGATTGTTGAGTGTACTTTAGTAGCTTTGGCTCACACTAAGGATATGCTCTCCTACTCAATTATATCTTTACCCTGTACTTTAGTTTTAATGAAAATTTATTTTGCAGCATTTGGATGCCTTACTGCGCCAGATACGAAATATTGTAGAGAAGCACACAGATACAGATGTTTTAGAAGCATGTTCTAAAACTTACCATGCACTCTGTAATGAAGAATTCACAATCTTCAACAGAGTTGATATTTCAAGAAGTCAACTGATAGATGAATTGGCAGATAAATTTAACCGGCTTCTTGAGGATTTTCTACAAGAGGTATATGTTACAAGTACTTTGTAAGTTGGGCCCTTGCCCTACAGTAACCTAATTAGTCTTCCTAGTATTCATCCTGGTGATAGTCTAGCAGTGTGTTTTTGAAAATATGTTTTAGTCTTTTAATTCTGAGAATCATCAGACTATTACTCCTATACCAAAATGTGAAAAGCGTATGAATCTGTGCTTTGGAGAAGGTGAAAGCAAAATGAACATCACATCTCTCTCTCTCTCTCTCTCTCTCTCTCTCTCTCTCTCTCTCTCTCTCTCTCTCTCTGGTTTGGTCTTTTTGAGACAGGGTCTTACTATGCAGTTCAGGCTAGCCTTGAACTCACTGTGAACTACACACAGTCTCTCCTTTGCGTTCAGTAAATGTTTTAGTTGAAAATGAGCCTGATAGGAAATAGCCGATTAATGGAACACAAGAGTGGAGCTAGATTGAGACTGATTAGCTCCAGACAGCAGGGAGTTTCTTATTGTTTTAGGAGTGTTGATGAGGGAAACGTTATTACGGTCTTTGATATTATAAAACCTTAATAAGTTTCTCTTACAGTCACTGGTGCTTTGGAGTTTTCCATCTTTTTTAATTGTATTTCCAAAGAGGCTTAGAGCATTGACACTCAAATATATTTATATTTTTATTGTAATTGTGTTTTTCCTTGAAATACATATTTATATTATAATTTGTTTGAATAATCATAATTATCAAATTAATGCTTTTAGGGTTGTCCACATCATGTGTCTTGTCAGTGCTACAAAAATCATGTGGATTTTGTAATTTCCACTTTTCTCATTTTACCAAGCTACTTAGCTGTATATGTTCATATGTAATGTTAGTGTAGGCTTATTAAGTTTTACTAATTGGAGGATTGTACAAGTATGTTTTACGATTATCCCATTCTGAGTGAAACTTTTTAGTGGCTCTTGGCTGAATATAATTCTGATTAAGGCAATTTAATTTAAAATAAAGTAATAGTTTGTTAATTAAGCTTAATTTGTAGAAATATTAAAGCTTAAAAACAAGTAAGTGTGTTTTTGAAAGACCAGGATGGAGTTCAATATAGTAGATTCAATAGTGGTTAAAGAATTTTATGTTTTTTGTAGTAAGGCTTAAAAATATTTTCCTGGACTTTAGTTACTTTGTATTTAAAAGTATATTAGTAAATGTTGATACCCACAAAGGACTTGGCATATCTTCTAGTTCTTCAGAGGGTTCCCACATCATCATGTTTAGTGTACTTAGATTTTGTAATTTAATTGTTACTTTTTAATGATCTCTTGTTATCTAGTGTATTTTTATTAATGCACTAGTGCATGTATTTTGATATAGTAATTTCTTTAGTTTTATGTCATTACTATTCAGAAAAAGGGAAGAAAATATTAGTCCCTTTTTCCCTGGTGAGCATAATGTACCTGTGATAACAGCCTGTGTTGACCCCAGGCATATAACCTTAAATTTAGCCAGATATTAGTATTTAATAATAAAAGCTAATATATTATTGTTTACTTCTTATGGTATTATCACCATATTGATAGCCTAGTATTTTTCACTTTGGTGGTTCTTAATGTATAATCATTATTTATAGGGTGAAGAACCTGATGAAGATGATGCTTATCAGGTATTGTCAACATTGAAGAGAATCACTGCATTTCATAAGTAAGTTCAATGTTTTATATTTCTGATTTCTTAAACTAGCAAAAGCAGCTTGCATATTTTGAGTATAGTTTCATATTCTTTACTTGCTTTCTGCTTTTCATAAAAAAGTACTTGGTAAAGTCATGTTTTAAATTGGAGTTACCAAAAAATTACCTAACATACTTTTAAAAAATGTTTTGTTATAGTGATCTGTTACTATGTTTGCCATGATTATTTTAGCAGTGCTTTGCTAATGTTAACTCAAGTAGTGTATGGCCATACCATCCTGAATGTGCCCGATAGTGGCTGATCTCAGAAGCTAAGCAAGGTGGGGCCTGTTTAGTACTTGGATAGGAGAATGTTAACTCAAGCACAAAACTGTCATGATTTGGCCTATTTTTTAACAACATAATTCTTTTTCCCCCCACAGTGCTCATGATCTTTCTAAATGGGATCTGTTTGCTTGTAATTACAAACTGTTGAAAACCGGAATTGAAAACGGAGATATGCCTGAGCAGGTCTTTATTTATTTAAAAGTTAGATATTTAACTTTGAGAATGAAGGCTTGTGACTTAAATTTTATCTGTATTTTCTTGCTTCTGTTTTACAGATTGTTATTCATGCACTTCAGTGTACTCACTATGTAATCCTTTGGCAGCTTGCTAAGATAACTGAAAGCAGCTCTACAAAGGTCTGTGGTATTCTGCAGTGTTTTTTTTTTTTAGATTAAATAGCATTCATGGTTTTCAGGAGACTTAACATCTTTAATAAAATCAGTTATTTCATTGAGGTTGTACTTGTTTCTAATGTGTATTTCAATGTGTACTCCTTGAAGTCTGGTCCTTAGTTCCCTGTATATTCAATGAGAAGACTTTAATGTGGTTTGTTTCAAGGTGGATTTTTAATTAAAAGTGTTCCCATGTAGGTGGTATAATTTATTACTTTACATATTCTTAAAATCCAGGAGCAGAGATATAAAGATAGGTTTCTGAAAAGCATGTTCAAGAACCATTCAAACAGATGAATACATGTATTGAATTGTTTAAATTAAAGTCAGCTTCTTTAAGTTGTCTTGTGCCCTGCTATCATTTTGAGTTCACCTTCATGTTTAAAATGTCTCTATTGATAAACGAAGTTCATGAGAAGCCATTCTCTAGTTGAGTATAATGTACCACTTGCTAGGACATAGAGCTTTTAAAACTTGGTCCATAATCTCCCATGCTTACATGTTATTAATTTAAGTAGGACTCCTTTTTCCTTTTGTAAATTGGAAGCTTAAGCATTGTACCATCAGTAGTTGATATTGCCTTGAACATTATTTGGGCTCATTTTTATAGGTAAAAAATTTCTGTGAGTTACATATTTAGATGTTCATAAGTATTTTCTTCAAAAAGAATTTTTTGATAATTGTATTGCCTAAACCCATGGAATAATGTTAAATCCTTACAATCTCTTTTTGCTTTTAAGATACCATTATGTCCATTATTTTTTTCTCTTGAGAAATCAATAGAGAGTTGTTAAATAGTATATTTTTGTCATCCTCAGGAAAAAGTTTATTAGGACTCAAGCTTATAATAAGAATAGTAATCACATTAGCATATGTAATTACTTATTTTGAAAAATATATACTCAATATGTGTAGTAGTCTGTCATTTGGTATTCAGTATCAGAAGTTGGCCCAAAGGTTGTAACTTCAATTAGATAATGTGGATAATAATTTTATGTTTCAAATAATCAGTATTTAGAAATATAAAACAATGTAAGAATAAAATTCAGCTTTTTAGTGTATGTATGTCTGTCATTTCAAAGTTTACAGTAATACCACAAAACTGATTTAGCACCGCTTTAGCTTATTTTTTAAGCACTAGAATCTGTATCTTTAAAATAACAAACGGGAGATGCCATATCCAACCTCATTCCCATTCACTGGTTGTATCCAGGACCTTCAATCTGAGATAGATCACAATCCCTTTTGTATTTTTTTTTATTTTGAGACAGAGTCTTGCTGAATTGCCCCGGCTGAGCTCAGACTCACAGTACTACTGCCTCAGCTTCCCAAAGTGTTGGGATTATTGGTGCTAGTCCTTTTTAAAATTACTTTCTTGAATTAATGTGTTTGCCACTTGTCAAATAATAAAGCCAGTGTGGAGTAGTTTTTCTCTTAAAGCATTTTGATCCAGTGACTTTATTATTAAATATAATCATACATGTTGTATGCTTATACTCATGCCAAGTGAAGTCCACTATATTTTATAATTAAGATACACTATTAAAAATACAGTCATATAAGTTTTCTCCTTGTAAATGACTGTGACCACTTAGGATACTATCCATTTATATACTTAAAATTTTAGGTTCCAATTTGATGAGATTTATCAGAAAAATGGTCTTTTTTTTCTAACCATAAAGAAATTTAAATTAAATGCATAAGTACAGTTAATGAAGTTATATATACAATTTTTTTAAAAATTTAAAACATTTTAAGAAAATACTGTGAATGAGTTGTTTATGCAATATCTTAAACTCTTAAATTTTTTCAAGGAGGATTTACTACGTTTGAAGAAACAGATGAGGGTATTTTGTCAAATATGTCAGCATTACCTGACCAACGTGAATACTACTGTTAAGGAACAGGTTAGTAATTGCTATTGATCTTTTGTAAGCAGTCTTATAAATTTAAACTGTACACTAATTTAAATAATAATAAGGTTCAGCAAAGTAGAAATGCCTCTGCCTATATGTACCATGCTTTTAAAAAGCAGATTAATATATTGAACTTACAAATAACGAAATTAAGTTGGGTGTGTTGGCACACCCCTGTAGTTCCAGCATTTGTGAGGCTGAGGCACATGGATCGATGCAAGTTCCAGACCAGCCCGGGCTACAAAGTGAGCTCAAGGCCAGCCTGAACTGCATAGTGAGACCCTGTCTCAAAAAGAGGCATATATCATATATATATATATGATTAACCTTTAATAAGAATTTAAAGTTGTGTTATAGATCATATTGTTTTATGTTGTTTTCTTCCTGATACAAATAGTAAACAAACTCAATACTAATTTTAAGTATATGGAATTATAGACGTCACTCTTGAAAGCAACAAATATAGCAGGTTTGCTTCAAAGAGAAAAATGTCCTTAAGGTTTATCATCTTTGAGAATATCAGATGTTGACATTCAAGACTGTTCTGATTTTGTGTGAAATACAAATTAATTAACATCCATCCAAGTGTATTACCTTCCCATTTTATATGACTTCATTATTGCCAGCTTTCTCAACTCCAAAAATAGACTGTGTGACCTGATTTGATCCTGAAACTAAGGTCATGTTCAGTTCTAATTCTCTGTTGACAATTCCACACTTATTGGGAATATGCTTTTTAAATATGTCTGTTGGGTGGATATTTTGGTAAACATTTTATAAGAAATAATACATATAGTCAAAATGCTAAGGATTGCAAGCTTTTTTTATTTTATATAAGTTAAGCTTTGTTAATTGGATAGAATCTGAGTAATCACTAACCCCAAGTGCTGTATTTGGAAACTAATATGTTGGGTGCTACTTATTTTAATTCAGAGTACAGTTACTTATTAAATTTATCAAGAAAGTTCTTTAAATTTACTAAGAATTTGTTATTTGTCCTTATTTAAAACATTAAAACAGTTTTTCTTTCCAGTACTGAGGATTAAGCCCAGAGTAACACTCATGCTAGGCAAGCGTTCTGTCACTGGGCTACGTCCCCAGTTATTTTAATTTAATTAATTTGCTTTAAAAAGAAATAATAATTTATTTGTTTGGGTACTGAAGATTGAAACCCAGTGCCTCACTGCTGAGTAACCTACATCCCAGCTCTCTTTTTAAAGTTTTTATTTTAAGACAGGGTCTTGCTAAGTTGCCCAAGCTGGCCTCAGATTTGTGATCCTCCTTCCTCAGCCTCCCGAGTACCTAGGATTACAGGTGTGCATCACTATGTATAGTCAAACACAGGTTTAATTTAAAAATTCACAGTTTGGTAGTTAAAAATTTGCAATCAGTGGCCAGCCGTTATTACTCTCTGTGTAATACGTGGGTATATAATCTCTGCTTAATCACTATACAAATGGAAGACAGCGCTTTGCAAATACTATATATTTTTGATCATTATTCTAATACCTGCTTGATACAGTATTTTTTGAATAGAACAAAGAATGGTACTAGATTTATGTATTATTTTTGCGAATTAATAGCATGCCACATTTTGTTATAATGCAGGGTAGGGGATTGGAGTCTGAAAACCTTAGATTAAGTACTGACTGTACATTCTTGCAGTGTTAACGTATTGTATAAGCCACATAACATTGCTGAAAATAATGATTGTGAAATTACCTTGTGTAATAAAGCATTGTGTAAATATTAGTAATTGTTTTTATAGAAATTAAATTTCTTACAGGGCTGGGGATTTAGCTCAGCGGCATAAGCGCCTGCCTTGCAAGCAGGCAGTCGTGAGTTCGATCCCTAGTACCGATAAAAACGAAAAAGACAAAAAACAAACAAACAAACAAACAAAAAAAAGAAATTAAATTTCTTAGCTTTAAGATCTTAGGAAAGCACTAAAGAATGATTTTCTTCATTTTCAAATATTGCAAAGTTGGGTGTTAATTACTATGTTAAATTCAGAAGATATATGGTTGCTAGAAAATTTCTGACATTCTTTCCTTCATTTTAATAGGCCTTCACTATTCTATGTGATATTTTGATGATCTTCAGCCATCAGATTATGTCAGGAGGACGAGACATGTTAGAGCCATTAGTTTACACCCCTGATTCTTCATTGCAGTCAGAGTTGCTCAGCTTTATTTTGGATCATGTCTTCATTGAACAGGATGATGATAATAATAGTGCAGGTAATTTTATTGCCATATTTTTGTTAAATCTTTGTGAATACCTTATATCAAAGTAACAGTGTTCTTGCACTATAGTTTATCTTTAAAACATGAAACACAGATATATGTTGTCACATATTAGTGTTCCTTTGGATAATTGTAATGTTAGTGTGATGTTATAGAGCACAGGCTTCTAAGTTAGATCTCAGCTTATTACTAGTCCAGAGCCTGTGTTTCTAATTTGTACATACCTCGTAGAACTGTGAAGATTAATTACAGTTGAATGAAGTAAATAATATAGTGCCTAAAAAAATTAAATGTATTCAGTAAAACTTATTCCCTCTTTCTTTTGGTAAGACCAATTTTCAGATAATTTGAAAATAAAGTATTTAAGTGACTTTTATTATATATATTGGTACACATTTTCATAATTCAAAAGTGTTAATGTGATTTCTGAATATTAGCAGAATGTTAACAAAAATTTTTGTAGAAATCTAGAATAGCACCCAATGTTCATAAGACAATAATTAAACCAAATTTGCCTAGTGTTGTGTTACTCTTCCATGCTAAGCACACAAACAACTGCTTACTTGAATGTGAGGTCCTGGAAAAAGCAAGCAATATTTGGTGACTTCTGTGTTTGTTTTTAATATGAAGTTACACTGAAGGAAAACAACATGTTATGCCTTTATATAAACTAACACATCATTGCCTGTCAAGGTCTAAACAAACATAATTCTAGCTGTGGCTTACAGCCTATTTTTATTTTTAGTTTTTATTTTCCAAATTAATTTTATTCAAAGATAAATAAAAAAGAAGAAGAAATAAAAGCTGTGACCATCAATTTCAAAGCACATCAATCAGGGAGTAACAATGGTATATACATTGCCTATTGTCATCCCCAAATCATTCACCCAGAACACAAGACATCTGCCTTCAATTGTCCAAACCATACCAGTACAAATGTTTCTCTTCAGCGAATTCAGAGAAATCAGTAGTATATATCTTGTCTTTTTTACATACATATACACACTTTTTTTCTTTCAACTTGTCACACTAATGAAACAATGTGTTTACACATGGGATAAGTATGTTCTCAAGGTCCATCCATTTACCTATAAAGGGGTTCAGTTTTTCCTTGTTTACGGCTGAGTAGTACTCAATTGTATAAAAATACCATATCTGTTTTATCTATCCCCTACCTGATGGGCATGTAGGTTGTTCCCAAGATCTGGCCATTATAAACTGTGCTGCTACAAACATGGGTGCACATATGTCACTGTGGTATGATGTTTTTAATTCTTTTGGGAAGATACCCAGAAGGGGAATAGCTGGATCAAATGGTACCTCCAATCGTAAACTTTTTAGGAATTTCCACACTGATTTCCACAGTGTTGTACCAGTCTGCATTCCCACCAGCAGTGGAGAAGGATTCCTTTTTCCCCATAGCATTTGTTCTTGGTTGAGATTTCTTTTTTTTTTTTTTAATTTAAGGAGAAAAGAAAAAAAGAACAGTGAAAGGGTACAAGTTATACAGATTTACAGAAGAAAAAAATGAACAGTAGGAAATCATTAGTTAATGGATTACATACTGCCATCTTAGAAATAATTGTTCAAGTCACAAAATTAGAGCTTGTAGAGTGGACATTCCAACAATGATACCTCAATCAGTTCTGTTCAGTGATCCAATAAAACTCTGTGATATCATTTTCTATCTTATACACTTAAATATACATGCAGTTATATAGTTTAGAGCACTTTCTTTTCCTCTCTTTTGTACAATGACTATTACACATTTTGGGTTTCATTGCTCCCACAGTTCTTATTGCTTTTTTGGAAGAGAGTAAAACCAAATGAGACATAACAGAATCGGTCAAGTCAAAAGGGTGGACATAATAGATAATATAAAAACATAATACAAGGTGATCAACAATGGTTACCATAATGCCTCCTGCTATCTCTAATAGAGTTGCCTATATCATTAGTTATAATACAATTGAACAAAACAGTAAAGAACAAAACCGACAAAACCAAAACATTGGAGACATTGTAGGTCTTCAAAAGTAGATAAAAGTCAACGAGAATGGGCGTTATAATGAATCTCATTATCTTCACAGCTGATGCCTAAACTTTCGAACCTGATACTATCCAGCAAAACAGAATAGGGGAACATCAGTCAAAAACAAGATGGTGAGAGTAATACAGGGCTTCAAATCGAGATAATAGAAAGTCAAAGTGGGTTACTATATTATATCCTGCTATTTTTTCCCCTTTAATTAAATGGATAAAAATAAAAAAGTAAATAATGGAGTGGAGATTGAGAAAAAAGAGGGCATAACAGTGAAACAGCGCAGATCAAAACATAACCATTTAAGCAGAATAGTGTTTCACCACCAGATAATCCTAACCTAAAAGTAGTTACCATATTGTCTCTTTCTTTGAAATCCTTGAGTATAACTTTGTATACTGTAGCATTAAGTATATCAAAACAATGTAAAACCATTTAAGAGAATGATAGCATTACAGAGTATTTAGAATCGACTAACAGAAAATGAACAATGGTTTCTGTATATTCTCCTTGTCTTTAAAAGGTTTTTGCTTATACTATCGTACCTAATAAAATCCAATAAGATACAACCTGTTTAGACCATTGGAGACAGAAGAACAAAAGCTAGATGAGACTTCAAAACAAGATGATACTAAATCAGTATTACCTATTTAGATGTCATTTTCTCCAAAATAGCTGTTCCTATCATCCAATCTTCTCTGTCTCATTTCTGTTGAGCTCTTTTTCTGTCAGTAGCTGTCAGTTTGTCTTCTTCATTTTGTTCTCTGCTCCATTCGTTGTGGCCTCCCCGCCACTATTTCTGGGTTCTTTGTATTTTTCTTTTTTTTAGAATATCCTGCAATACTTTCTGTAGGGTTGAATTGGTGGTTGCAAATTCCCCCAGTTCCTCTTTATCCTGGAAGCACCTTGTTTTTCCATCAATTTCCAGGGATAGTTGTGCAGGATATATCAATCTTGGCTGGAGATTATTATCTTTCAAAGCTTGAATTATTTCTCCCCATGCTCTTCGTGATTTGATGGTTTGTGCAGAGAAATCTGCTGTAATTCTGATGGGTGTTCCCTTGTAAGTGATCTGTTTCTTGTCTCTGACAGCTTTCAATATTCTGTTCTTGTATTGAATTTCTGGAATTTTTATTATTATATGCCTGGGTGTTTCTCTGTTAGGGTTGTAGGTAGCTGGGGTCCTGTATGCCTCATACATCTGAGTATCTTTTGCTAAATTAGGAAAATTCTCCTGGATTATTTCTGTGAGTAGCTTTTGTAGTTCACTTGTTTGTGTCCCTACTTCTTCTTTTATGTTCTTAATCCTTAAGTTATGGCTCCTCTTATCATCTTCTTGTCTTTGTATTATTGCTGTTTGTTTCTTTGTTATTTTTAAGAAGTTTTTCATTTCATTCTCCCATATTACAAGTCTGCCCTCCAGTTCAGATAGTCTGTCCTTAGTTTCTTTCAAGCTGTTATGCCAGTCTTGGATAGACTTCTTAATTTCTTGATAGTCCCTTTGAACCTGCTTCACGTACTCTATGCTTTCTCTGTTTTCTCCATCAAACAATTCTCCCCTGTTTTTCTGTTCTTCCATTCCACCATCTGTTTTTTCCTGGGTGGTGCTTAGCATTTCTCTAACTATTCTGCATACTTCTAGCTTCAGGTCGTTGATAACTTCATTCCTGAATTGATCTATGAGGCTCTCTATATGGCGCTTAATGTCTATTGGTGCGGTGTCCTCTACTGCCTGTTTCTCAGAATTGGGGGCCAAGGAGCCTTTCTTGTTGCTGCTTTTTCCCATATTCTCTGTTCCTTATATATATGCAAGCTTATATAGGAGGCCCAGCTTCCCTGCCTGTCAGCCACAGCCTGATCAAATTGCGCTGGCTAGGTGTTCCCGCCCACCGCTGCGCACCAGGGAGTTAGGGACTAGGCAGACTACGCGGGAGTCAGTCGCCCCTCCGGGCCACCATCAGGCTCTGGGATCTGGGTTAGGCCAGCCTACCAAGTCCGCCCGCAGTGTCATGCAGGCCAGGCACTTTTCACCAATCCCGTCTGAGAGGGCAATGTGTGGCTGGAGTCACCACCGCGCCCTGCTCTCACAGGACTGCCCGAGCCCAGAAAGTCCTCCGCTGGAGTCAAACTGTGGTAGAGTGTCAGTTTCCCTCACTCACCTCACCACAAGTCAGTGTACGCTTCCTTGTCTGTCCTGTTTTCGACTCCGTTCGCAGACTCCCGTTCCCAGAGCTTCTGCGCGTCTCTCCTTGCCGAGCTGCTGTGGAGGCAGCCAGCCGCTGAGCGGCGGGAAACCCAAATCGCGGTTTCCAATGGCGCGGGGTCGAGTCTCCACACCGAGTCTTTTCTGTTCCTATTTTAGCGCCAGGACTGCATTCCAAGTTGGTTTCTCTCAGCCCAGTTCGTTCCTGAGTCAGCAGAGCATATGTCTACCGACTCATGTCTCCTGAGTCCGCATCATTCCTGACTTCTGAGCTGAGCCTTTCAGAGAGCCTCCGGTAGTTGCTGTTATCTGTCTGCCATGTTCTCCCGGAAGTCCTGGATGAGATTTCTTGATAATGGCCATTTTCTTTTCTGGAGTGAGATGAAATCTCAGTGTTGTTTTAATTTGCATCTCTCAAATGGCCAGTGATGTTGAACATTTTATCAGTACATTTATTTCAGAAGTGTGTATTCATCTCAGATGCACAGTTTTGGATTGGGTCTTTAAATCTGGGAGGACTGATATTATTGAGTGCTTTATATGTTCTCTGTAGTAATCCTTTGACAAATAGCTGCCAGACATTTTCTCCCTCATTGTGTGTTGTGTCTTCACTTTGTTGGTGGTTACTCTTGTTGTGCAAAAGTTTTTAAGTAGGGTGTGATCCCAGTTATTGATTCACCTTTTGCTCTTAACCTTAACCATTAGTTTTGGTGAACATACTTTGGTCAGCAACATACCAGATGCCATGTATATGAAAGTATGGGACAGAGGAATTTAATTCCAGAATTAAACTCAAGTGCAAAAGACATTTGAAACACAGTTATAATGCAATTTTGTAAGTATTGGAGACATGTACAAAGTGTGGATATGTAGAGGAAGTTCTAGTTCTTTTGCATCTTTGAGTGAAGCTATCATCTGAAATGGATCTGAAATATGAACAGCCATGTTTGTTTTAGATTTTTACAAAAGAAATAAAGCTACATTGACAATATCTAGTAATAATAGCAGCTGACACCTATGAAAGGTCCAGTGTGTTAGGTACTTACCTTCCATGCCTTCCATAAGACAAAGATAGCTAGTTTTCAATTAGTAAAAATTTGAAAAAAGTAAAAATTAGAGTTTAAATTTCTTAAATCAGGGTCATTTATTCTGTAAGAGGAATAAGTGTATGCCTGTAGTTCTTGTGAGCAGTACTAAGCAATGTTTGGAAACAATGTCATGTGGACATTATAATGAGAGTTATCAAGAAAAGATTATCCTATGTGTTCACTATATAGTGTTTTCAAAGAGTAAGTATCTTTTAGGTTTCTAAGCAAATAGTTTTCACATATTGGAACATACACATATGATAAAAGTAGTGCATATCAGTAATACAGAATAATGGGGTTTGATTTGATATATTAGTAAGTATATTTAGCACCTTGATTATTTTCTACCTCATTACTTAGGTTCAATTTTCAGCACCAAGAAAATATTTCTAGTTTTAATTAATTAGCAGTTGTCAAGGATTACCAGAGGCAAGATAAAAATCAAAACAAAATTAAATAGATAACAAATTTTTATTGGTTCAGTGTTACCCATCTTAAATTGAAGAAGTGACAAGATATAAACCATTTAATAAAAGATGTGCTTTCAATGGCTAGCAAACATATAGAAATCTTTAACTTTACTAGTTAAAGAACTAGTAACCAAAAAACATAAACAAATACTACATTTTTTTTACTCTATAGTGATAAATTTTAAAATAAGTAATTATTTTAAATTTTATCTAGAGAAAATATCTTTACACAAGTTTTTATAGAAAAGACTTTACCACAGCTGCACTTACCTTATCAGATGATTAAAAACAATCTTTGGGTTGCAATGGGGCTTCCTTTACTGTGTATTTAGAAATAAATCTGTTCTCCTGAAGTTGAGTGGTAAGACTGTCCATAATGAATAGCAGCAAAAAATGTGAAATTATTTTAGAAAGGCAGAATGGTTCCCAGGCCAATGTAACACATTTTATGTGTGTTAAAGAGGCATACATAAATAGAATCAAAGGTGAGAATCAGAATTTTGAGGTTGGTTGGTTTCCGAAAGAAGGAGACTTAATCAGAAGATGTTGAATATGCTCTCACACTGACAAACAATGTTGTTAGAGAAGTATAAAAATGTGTTGAGCAAGCTTAGTCTGACTTCTCTGAATATAATTTACTTTGACTCATTTTATTTCATTTAAAGTATCTTTTTGATACAGTGTTTCACTATGCAGTTCAGAATGGCCATGGACTCACTTTGCGCTTGGTCTGGCCTCATACTTGCTTTGATCTTTCTGTCTCAGCCTTCTGAGTCACTATTTCTGTTTCATGTTCACTAAGCAATCTTCTCATTTATTTTTGACAGCAAAAAATATAATTTTTGGTGTAATTTTAATTTTTTTCCTCCTTTTAAGCTTTCCAGTAAAATTGTTACGATGTAGTGTAAATTAAAAATGATGGATTTAAAATGAAAGATAACTTATTTTTTTGACACTTTTCTCCTAGATGGTCAGCAAGAGGATGAAGCCAGTAAAATTGAAGCTTTGCACAAGAGGAGAAATTTACTTGCAGCCTTTTGTAAGCTAATTGTATATACTGTGGTAGAGATGAATACAGCTGCAGATATCTTCAAGCAGTATATGAAGGTAAAGTTGAAAAATGGGTATAACAAGGTAGCTTTTAAATGCTTAAAAGAAATTGCAACATGCTTTTATTCTTGGTTGCTACTGAAAATTTTAATATTAAATTACTTTAATAACTTGATTAATAGTTATTTTTCTTACAAAATAAATTTATTTAAACATATTTAACATTTCCAGTAACATTTCATCATATCTTCAGTATTTCAGTTGGTAGAATTTGGGGTTTGTGATCATTCCCACTTAGAATATTACACGTTTTCACTATTAGAAAAGAAACTTCATTTATGATTTAAAGATAATGGTGATTTTTTTCCTCTGCATTACCATGTTGTGTTATGTGGAGTCAGGATACCTAGGTGATAATTTTAGGTTGGTTAAGATGGAGCTGCATCCTATCCTGAGTTTCTTCCTCAATTTCACTTCATAGGAGCTATCATGCCTTTTGGTTTTCAAAATTTGACTTGACTGATACTAGATTATTCATCAGTTTTATAAATATATGTGATGCTCTTAATTTGAAACAGGAGAAGATACTGTTAAGTTGCACAGAACATAACTAAATATGGTAAACTGTTTTATAAAATATTAAGTAAAAAACCAATTATACATGTAAACTTATATTTTGCCAAGAAATAAGATAATGTGTAATGAATATGTCAAAACATAGTTCTCTATAATAATTTGCTGTATGAAAGAACCATGGCATAAAAATTATTTTGGAACTTAAATCATTTGGCATGGTAATTTTTAGACTAAGGTTTATGAAATAATTTTATAAATTTAAACTTATATACTTAGATATTCTGTATTAAAGTCATTAGCCATAGGGGCATGTTTAGCCTATTAATCTCTCATAGTTATGTATTTTAATTACCATTTTAAATTAGAAGTTCGTGTGCAATATGTAGTGCATATGTCACACAATAAATTTTATTTGAGATCTTTAGAAGCTGCTAGTGTCTATGTACCAAAATAATAAAGTTACAAGCTACTCATTGCTTAATTCCCCTTAAGCGCTGTATTAGGTTTGAGGGTAAACATGATTATATTCATTGTTTTATAATTTACAAAATGAATTTTATCCTTTGTTACTTCTAAAGCTTTGTATGGCCTAATTATTCTATTTCATGTCTCCTTTATTTAAAACAAAGCATGGTGTTTAATTTGATTAGATCTTAACTTTTATATTTGTGAATTTGATAACATTAAGGATTATATGCCTAGAAGTTATCTTAATGTTTATTTCTTTGAACGCATAATTTTGGCCAGATACATACAGTACTTTGTGACATGCTTATGAGACTAACATAAAATTAGTTTTATTGTCCAGTAGTATTAAGAGATAAAACTCTAAACTATGTAAATTCTCTTCCAGTATTATAATGATTATGGAGATATCATCAAAGAAACGATGAGTAAAACAAGGCAAATAGACAAAATTCAGTGTGCTAAGACTCTTATTCTCAGTTTGCAACAGGTAAGACATTAAGAGTACCAGCTTAACTGACATGATTAATAATTAAATGGGGAAAAGAATATGATAAATAACTCATAAATGTTGAAATGCAAAATATTCAACCTTAGTACTAGATAAAGAAGTATGAGATAATTTGTTTAGTTTCTAACTGGCAAGAATGACAACACTTGTAGCCCTCTAAGCTATAGAAATAGATATGGTAGGTAAATTTGCAATACATGTAAAAATATATAACATGAATGTCATTTGAGGCAGCAGTTTTACTTATAAAATACTCAAAAGTAGGACAAATCTGTAAAAATTGGTGTACAGGTTGTACAGTGCAACCTTGTGTATAATAGCAAGAAGAGAGAAATAATCCAAAACTATCAATAGCTATTACATCAACATACATTTCTGCAGCATCCATTATGTGACACTTAAAATTAGTGTAAGATATGTATTCTTTAATGTATAAAATTTTCTAATACATAGTTTGAGAATAAAATGTATCAGGGATGGCATCTTTATAAAATTATATTTGTCTATCTGGAAAAATAATCACCAAAATGATAGCAGTTGTTAACTTATTGGGGTTAATATCAAGTGAATTTTACTTTTTTCTTCATTATTTCCAGGCTGTTAGGGACCATCTGTGAATTTTACAACCAAAACACAACAGTCTTTTTTTATTTTGACAGCGGCAATGCAGGCTTAATTAGGGAAAATTACTTTTGTCTTCAGAGACAAAATTTGCATGCAAAATATACTCCAACTCTCAATTCCCTTTGATAAACTTTCTTGCTTTCTAGAAATATTAGCATGAAACTTCTCAATTTCATTTGCAATCTGCATATTTTTTGTTAAAATAAATAAAACTTAGATTTTTAAATGAATGTTAACTTTTCCTCTGCTATAAAATAATGGCTACTAGCTATAGAAAGTTTCAAAAATTTCTTTCCCAGCATTATTAAGTTATAAATGACAAAAAATGTATATATTTATGTTATACTATGTGACTTTTTAGTATATGCACACATCATGAAATTATTAAATCTAACATCCATTATTTTGGGTGATTTTTTTTGTCTATTTAAGTTCTGCAAATTTCAAGTACATTCAAATTATTCTTTTTTCTTTTTTGGTCCTATTGATTGAACCTCAGGCCTTGGACATGCTAGGCTAGTGCTCTGTCACTGAGCCAAACCCGAGCCCTGTAGTAAATCAGTGTACTCACGATGCTATATACAGTGGATTCTCAAAAGTTTCTCATCCTGTTTAAACTGAAACTTTGTACTATTAGAACAGCATCTCCTCATTCTCTCTGCCTCTTTGGCCTATCCCCTGAGAACCATCATTCTACTCTTATGAATTCTAATTTCGTAGATTCCATTTTATGTGTAACTGAAATTATGTGATATTTGTCTTTCTGTGTCTGACTTATTTCACTTAATGTAATATCCTCCAGGTTTATAGATGGCTTTTGCAGGTGACTTAATGTCCTTGTTTTGAAGGTTAAATATTACTACTTCATGTATATGTGTATATATACCACATGTTCTTTATTTTTCTATTGACACCTACCTTGGTTGTATTTTGGCTTTTGTGCCTGATGCTACCATAAACACATGAGTGCAGACTGTCTCTTTGACATACTGTTTTAGTTATCTCTGAATATATACCTAGAATTCTTTAGCATTTTTGTTTTTGCAGTCCTGGGATGGAACCATGAGTCTTGCACATGGTAGGCAACTGTGCTACCACCAAATTGTATCCTTAGACCTTTAAAAAATTCAGAGCCAGGCTGTCACTGAATTCCCCACGCTGGGCTGGAACTTACAGTTTTCCTGCCTCAGTCACTCAAGTATCTGGGATATTAGGCATGTACTGCCCTAAGCAGTTTAACCTTCTGCATTTTTTAATAACTGTATTGTATTTTATAAGTGGGCCATAATTTAATCAAGATTTCTTTTTGTGTGATGTTCAGATTTTTTATAATTTGTGCCACTATAACTAACACTAAAACATTTTTGTATATAGTAGTGCACATAGTATTAATTGTTATGGATAAAATCTTACTTGAATTGCTCAGTCAAATGATAACAAAATTTAAAGCTTTTGCTACTTCATGATGAAAATGTTTTTGTTCTTTGTTTTGTAATGAATGTTCTTTATGTGAAAACTAATTCCCTAATTATAAATTATACCTTAGAATGTGGGATGCCCTGGTTTGATCACCAGTACTACCATAAAAAATGTAAATATAAGGTTATTGTTGCTTAGTAATTCGGTGGATTTTCTTTTTCTTTGTATTTTTGTATGCTTAGTATATTACACAATCCCAACAGAATAGCGTTCTGAGGAAACTATCCTAAAGAGTTTCTAAAATCAATATTGATTTGTGGCTTAAATATATGAAGTGCTAAAATCTAAAATCAGTATTGATGTTAAATATATGAAATATTAAAATTTTGATCATTTATCTGTTTGTATCACATTTTTAAAAACCCATGTATTAGAATAAAATACTGTACACCTCATTTACTGAACTCATATTTTAAGTTGAAAATATCTGAAGGATATGAATCTATATGTATATACACACATTATACACACACACACACACACATAACATTTAACATGCTTTCTTTCTTTCTTTCCAAACAGCTTTTTAATGAGATGATACAAGAAAATGGCTACAATTTTGATAGATCATCTTCAACATTTAGTGGCATAAAAGAACTTGCTCGACGTTTTGCTTTAACTTTTGGACTTGATCAATTGAAAACAAGAGAAGCCATTGCCATGCTACATAAGTAATTTCCAATCACTTTTGAAATCTTTGTGTCTAGCCCTTTCATTTATAATGGCTTAATTAAATTAGTTTTATTGATGAATAAATCTATCTATATATTTTAAGAATCAGTTATATTGTCATCATTTGCCATAATAAGTTAGTAGAGCCTAAAACTCCCTTTATAAGAAAGTCTTTGTATTAATTAAAACAATACAAAATCTACAGATTATGAGAAACAAAGCAGCATGTATTCATCAGGCATTAGAAAGTGTTTTACCGTTTTTGTGGTAATCTCATTGCTGGATAGAGAATTTTTTTGAAGTTTGATTCTTTTGTCTCCAGTTTTTTCTTTCTAGTTCTTCATTCTATTTTACAATAACTCTTTCCCTTGTTTTTATCAACCTTTTTATTTGCATATTTTTTCCCTCTAATCAAAGTTGAAAATCATTTGATTTCACATTGAACATATAATTTGTGATCATTTAAACTTTTTAAAGTATTGAGTACATTTTAGGTTTTTAACATAACAAACATTTTTATACTAAACTTCTATATCACTTGACTGTGGATTAAAAAACCTTGTTGTAGAGAAAACAAAGAACCTTAAACTCTTTCATTGAAAGCACCTTTTTTTTTTTTTGTACCAGGTATCGAACTCAGTGACATGGCACTTGACAAACTGGCACTTGTGCCACTGAGCTAAACCCCCAGCCAGAAAACTCTTATGTTTTATATCTCTCTTAATCCTCTTGACTATATAGTTTCTTTTTGCTTTTTTGTTTTTGTTTTGAGACATGGGTTCGTTATGCAGTTCAGGCTGGTCTGGAACTCAGTGATCCTCCTGCTACAGCCTCTTGAGTGCTGGGATTACAGGCATGAACTACCAAATCTTGCAGTTAGTGTAAAGTCTAAAATGTCTTTCCTGTTCTCTTTTCCTCAAATCCTCTACATTTAATTTGCTCTTTCATCTTATTTTAAAACTCTGAAATTCACTTTTGTGCTTTTTATAATGTTAGTGGTAATTTTAGGTAATACTTACGGATCACATGTAGAATTATTTTGAAAATTAATGCATGATTTTCTTTCAGTGTTAGTCTGCCTTCTTTTTAGTCCTATCTGAATTGTTTTTACCTAGTTACATTTTCAATAGAGTATATTGTTGAGCTGCCTTAATTAATGACAGCATTTAATATCATATAAATGTATTTGAAGTACGATCTGATTAGAGTTTAATTTCAAAAGTATTTAAATCAGTCATCACAAATAGACAATAATTAGTTTTACTTCTATATACGACTAAGGAAATATCTTAGTGGAGAGAACATGTAGAGTAAAATTTACTTTCTAAGTTTCCTAGGTTTTTATTATAATCACTAAAACCTTTGTTTCAACATTTTTCTTTGCAGAGATGGCATAGAATTTGCTTTTAAAGAACCTAATCCACAAGGGGAGAGCCATCCACCTTTAAATTTGGCATTTCTTGATATCCTAAGTGAATTTTCTTCTAAACTACTTCGACAAGACAAAAGAACAGTGTATGTATATTTGATAGAAATGTGCTATTTAATTTCATTTTGAGATTCTTTTTCTATCCTCTCCCCGATTCTTTATTTTTGTGGTGTCGGAGTTGAATCCAGTTTCTTATATGTAGTTGCTGCACTTGACTTCTGTCCTTTCTGTAGACACATTTGTAGGATTACATTAGTGTTCAAAAATTTTATACTAAAGCAATTTTATAATTTAAGGATTATGAGTTTTCTATATATTATACTCCATTTTAATGTTTTGAGTTCTCACAGCATAGTTGTAGCTTCTGAGGTGTAACTTAAATGTTTTGGGTTCCTATTTTGTATTCTTGTCACAGCCCATCTAATGAGGGAATGTTTAAAAGACAATAATACTAAGAAACCATCAAGAGCATCCTAATTTTGGTCTGTGTTTTGAGCTGTGACTACACTGTAAAGTGGAAGTCCCTATTTTATCTTTTTACTTTAGTTACTGTTCCTGTTCTCTTAACAAATTCATTTGAATAGTAAATTTCTCTCTTGTAAGTTTCCTAAAATTGTGACTGATAAACCAAAGAATGAATTGAAATTCTCAAAATCTTTCCACTTTTTCCTTGGCTTTGGGATATAAAAGGCCCGAAGACTATAATTATCTCAGTGTTTTCTTCTAAAACATCACTACTATTTTGCTTTTAAAATGAGAATATTAAAGATGATAAGGTTTTTTTGTGTAGGAAAATTCTAAAATAGACAAAAATAATCCTTGGTGATAGAAATCACAACAGTTGTTTTGGGTCATAGGAATATACTGATTCTTTTTTTTTGTCTTTTTCCTTTTTATTGGTACCAGGCATCGAACTCACGACTGCCTGCTTTCAAGGCAGGTGCTTATGCTGCTGGGCTAAACACCCAGCCCCTAGTATACTGATTCTTGATACAAATGCAGGCTACATGGGAATATTCATTTGTATAAGTGATTCAGGTGTACTCTTAATTTTTGTGCATTTTATCATCTATAAATTTATCACAATTAAAATTGCACATGTCTGTTGCAGTGACGTGTGACTGTTGTCTAAGCTGCTTGTGGGACTCTGACAGGAAGATAGCTTGATCCCAGCAGTTTGGAGCCAGCCTGGACAACGTAGCAGGACTATGTCTCTTAAAATATTATATAAAGTGTATTAAATATAAACAATGAAATGTTTCTTTTACAGCAGATTAGCTAAAGTCAAAATATCTGATAATGTTCCATATATATTGGTTGTGACCATGTAAATTGACACAAAACTACTTCATGAAGCTATTTTTCAGAACCTAGTAAAGGTTAGAATTCTTCCTACCTTGTGATCATACTCCACTGATTCATGATGTGTACATATCCTATAAAAACTTGAGAGCTTATGCAAGAGAATCCATAAAGGAATATTGACCTTCGCATTGTTTGAGTGGGAAGGAACTCAAAACCTAAATATCTATGAATTAAATCAGTTAGTAAATTGATAGATCAAATAAAACTGTCACACAGCATTCAAAATATATTTTTAAAAACATAATGTTGAGTACAAATAGGAAATACAAAACTGCAACTATTTTAGAAGTAAGGAAAATATTCATGAGGGCAATAAATAGTGAATTCAGGTTAATCAAACCTCTGGGGCAGAAATAAGCAGAAATGGGACTAGCTCTGGTGAAGGCTTCTTTGCTCTACTCTTAGAGTAAGGTATGTGGTAGATCTTCGATTATTGTTAGATTAAAGTATGTGGCAGAGCTATAGATCTCCTTCAACTACAAACTTTTAGTTCAAACTCTTATCACAGACTGCTAACAGTTCTCAAACTATTAGTCGGTCCATAGTTCACATAGGAGAATACTGTGCTACTGTGTGTGGCTGAAGTTTTTGGTAACTAGAAAGATATACTTAGCACTTGTAATAAAGCAGTATGTTTTATAATTCATGTCTCCTGTGCTGTTCAGCTAATGAATGTTTCCTGTGTTAATAAATGAATTATAATAACAGATATTGGAATTGGACTTAATGGTTAGTTGATAAATAATTGTCTTCATTTATTCTAAGCATAAACATTTAATTGTTTATATTTATTTAATACACTTTATACAATATTTTAAGAGACATAATCCTGCTACATTGTCCACGCTGGCCACAAACTGCTGGGATGAAGCTATCTTCCTGGCAACGTCCCACAATCAGCCTGGATGCAGAATTGTGGTTATGCTACTTATTCATTTTTATGACTGTGGGTACATTATTTCTTCTTAATTTTTTTGTTTTTTCTTTCCTCATCTGTGAAATGAAGTAATTCCCTCACAGAATTGTTAAGAATAGTTAAGTAACTGGGAGAAAAATGCCTAGCATATAGTGGTCATGAATGTTAAGTGAATTTTGATTGAAAAATTACATATGATATGTGTGATACTTGGTCAAATAGTACATTTTCTATTCCATCAGGCCAAACAAAAGCTTTTTGCAGATAAGGACCATATATAATTCATCTTTGTATCTCTCCTCCATGCCTGGGTCATAGTAGATACTTAACAAATGTTAAGCTGAAATGCTCTTAAACCATATATTGTTAGAGGCTTGATAGCAAAAAAGTTACTAATCATTGTCCTTCTAAGTATGAGATTGAGTATTGAAGTAAGATATCAATGCTTCCACAACTAAGGATTGATAGAACTAGCAGCTTTATGTGCCAAAGTTAACAGTTTCTACTTCCTTTTAAGGTACGTTTACTTGGAGAAGTTCATGACCTTTCAGATGTCACTCAGGAGAGAAGATGTGTGGCTTCCACTGATGTCTTATAGAAATTCTTTGCTAGCTGGTGGTGATGATGACACAATGTCAGTCATTAGTGGAATCAGCAGTCGGGGGTCTACTGTACGGAGTAAAAAATCAAAACCATCTACAGGAAAACGGAAAGTGGTTGAGGGCATGCAGCTTGCACTCAGTAAGGCTATATATATACATATGCATATATATATATATAGTTATATATAGTGTATTCTCTTTCTATTTTTCTTGAATGTTTACCAACTGAGTAAAAATTGACCTTATTTTTCTTTGGTATGTGTTTAATAGTAACACTCAATGTGTTAGTAATATGTAAATTTGCTGCTTTAAACATTTTACATATATGAACTTGTGAATAATTTCAGGTACACCCTCTTCTTCAAGTAAAAAAACTAGTACAGAGCAATTAAGTGACTTTCTCAAGGTTACATGAATATTAAATAGAACCAAGCATTCTCAATCTATAGCATTTGTTTTTAAGTGCATTACTGTATGCAAAAGAAATGGACTCAGTATTATAGAGCTAGTTACTACTTAGCTAAGAAATTGAATCACTTAATTTTAAGTGGAAGAACAGATTCAGAGAGTTTGCAACCCTAATTTTCTGTGAAGAAGTCATTATAAAGAATCTGGTAGAAATTAAAAGTGCTATCTTTCATTTTTCATTTCTCATTTTGATGCTTCACAATTTTTGACTTCTAGCATTCTAAGGTTTGTTCAATATGGGGTCCAGGGATTTCTTCTCTTTTCTCAAGAACCCTTAAATACATCAGAATAGTTGTCAAGAATTGTTGTAGTTATTGTTAAATAACAAACTCCTCAATATTTAGATCATAATAAGGATCATAATGTGTGTGATATCTTGGAGACGAAGATTCAAGTGGCTCAAATTTATAGTCATCTCCAGTTACATATTTGACAACAGCTGGACTGTCTGGTAGGGTAGGTACACATGATCTGTCCATATGTCACTGTGTTCCAAGAGAAAGCAAATAAATTCTGCAAGTTTAAAGCATCTTAGAACTTGTATAGTATAACTTCCACCATGGTCCGTTGATTAAGCAATCACAGAGATTCTAGGGGCAGTTATATAATCTTCCACTTCTTACCATGAGGACTGTCAGAGAATTTGAGAATCATTTTTTAAATTGCCACATAACTTACCAGCTATCATTTATCATCAGGAATATAGTGTTAAACTTGATTATCTTATGAATAGTTGTAGTATCTCTAGTCCATTTGGAACATTTTGCTTGTACAGTTTTTTAATTAGTTGATTATGTTTTGCTAGCATTACAGTTGGATGGAGGTTGTTTTCTCTCCAACAAAATAGTTTGAGCTGATGACTTATAAGAAGTTAAAATTTCTTTTTTTTAATTAGAAAGTTTACTAAATTAAAAGATTTTTTTCTGCATATAATTATAAATCTTAAAAAGCTTTTCTTATCTGAACCAATATTTTGGGCCAGGGGTTTAGCTCAGTGGCACAAGCACCTGCTTGGTAAACACAAGATTGTGAGTTCAATCCCCAGTATAAAATAAACAAACAAACGAAAGCAATATTCAGTAGTTATAGATTTATACTGGACCATCAAAATACACCTTTCCCATTAAGATTTGTGAAACATTTGTACATAGTTGAACTCAAAAGAATGATGTGATTATATTACATAATGTTAAATTTGTATCTAATCCATGTATTACTAGGGTATAAGCACATTTTTCTTGCAACTCTTTTCGTTAAAACTTATATTTATGTATGCATATATAATCTTCAATAAAATTTTCCTCCAAGTTCATAGTCACTAACTGGTCTCGAGTTTATATCCCAAATCAGTGATTTAAAAAAATGTTAACTCAGTAACACATGTGAATTTGTTTTTTATTAATGATGGCAACACCTGTAAATATTTGGAAATAAAAACATTTGCAGGTGTGAAACCTTATTATTTTTAGTCCAGTACTGTACCTAAGGTATATATGGATTTGTAGTCCTTAAGTAGCTAAGAATTTCTTGAGATTGTAGCAATCTGCAGCTGATAGTTTGGAAACTACTCTCCTGTTGTCTTCATTTCTAGTACTATGGCTCATTCTCTGGGCTATATAATTATTCTCTGTATGGCTTATTTACCCATAAGTCTTCCTGTTCTTAGGTATACATTATACACTGTTACTTATTTAAATATGAAACACACCAAATTGTTTATGTTCCCTAAAACTTTCAGCAGCAGCTTTGTCATGTTATCATAGATAACAAAACTTTCCATAAATTGATTCCTGGTTTTTAATCCACTCTTACATTTTCCATTTTTTTTTCATCTTTAGATCCCAAGAGAGCAGGCTATTAGTAGAACTGTATGAAGTTGCCATTTTTTGTAGGTCAAATGTCAGTCAACAGATTAATAGGATTTAATCATCATTTCATGCCATGGCATTCTTGCTTATATTTTTCCATTTGCTTACCTTCACTATACACTCGATACCTACTCTTGTTAGGATTTATTTTGGTTACCTGTCTCTGATCTCACTACTCTTATTCTCTAAATTCCTTTTCTCCTAGCGCTTACTAAACTGTATTGTAATTGCCTGTTTGACCTTTCTCCACAGCTAAACTATAACAGTAGGGTGCAGGTGGATCCTTACATGTCTCTGTATCTCCTTGTTCATTGCATGCTAATGTGAAAGGCAGCTGGATGTATATTGGTCTGAAAGAGTTGTATTAAACATCTGATTAATCAAAACTAGTGGCTATATTTCATTGCTGTACATTTTGTCTTTCAGCTGAAGAAAGCAGTAGTAGTGACAGTATGTGGTTAAGCAGAGAGCAAACCCTGCATACCCCTGTTATGATGCAGACACCACAGCTTACCTCGACTATTATGAGAGAACCCAAAAGATTACGGCCTGAGGATAGCTTCATGAGTGTCTATCCAATGCAGACTGAGCATCATCAAACTCCTCTTGATTATAAGTAAGTAGATTTGCTCATTTTCTGTAATAGAACTTTATGAATTACATAGAAAAAAGTTAAGTTAAAAGAAGAATAAAATTCTTCTTGAAGCACGCAGGTAACATGGATGTTAGCTCAAAGACAACAAGAGGAAGCAAGGCAACAGCAGGAGAGAGCAGCAATGAGCTATGTTAAACTGCGAACTAATCTTCAGCATGCCATGTAAGTGAGAGTGCCTTATTGTCTGAGTCTAGGAAGTTCACTAATTCATTTTAATATATTTTAATGTGTGCCTTATCTAAAATTTCAGCAGACTCTCTAGAGTAAGCTGAAATAATCAAGGAACTAAAAATTGGTCTTTCCAACAGAAAAAAATTATTTTAAATATTAACTAGATAGCCAAAGGACAAATCTTAGGTTGATCTGTTGGAAAAATTTAAATATGAATCCTTGTTTATTTTGGTACACAGAATTAAAAAATACATTTCTGTTACATTTAATTGATTTTCCCACCATAGTAGTTCAGGCCCTCATCTCTCACCTGAACTATTGTAGTTGCTTTCTAACTGATTTTCTTGCTTCAAATTCCCATTTATCCTTTCACCAAATCCCTCCCTTTACACCTTCACACCACTCATTATTTACACTACCATTAATAATCACTATTCTAGAATAAAAATATTAATATGTAACTCTTACTTAAAATTTTTTCATGGCTCCCCATTGCCTGCTGGATAAAGTTGACACTCCTTAGCTCATGGCATGCAAGATCTTTCAAAATAGCCCTGCCTACATTTTAGTGTCATATCTCATTCCTTGGTAACTGGTGAAATAATCATGAAAGAACAAGCTCAGGTGTCACCTTAAGTGAGGCTGTGGTCATCTATGCTTCCATAAGACTACTTATATTCATATTTCTTATAGCACTTGCCATGATGTATTACACTTGTTTATGATTTTGTCCCTTTTTCTAGACTGTGAGCTCCTCAAGGGCAGGGACCTCATTTATTGCTTGTTAGTGCTTGGCGCATAAGAGGTGCTAAGTAGATGTTCATTGAATGAGTAAATGTTCAGTACTTAAGAAATTATAGTTTATCTTTGTTTTTACTGGGTTCTTTATGACAGTTTCAAAAATCATCCTGATTAGCTTTGGCTATAAAAGAAATGGACAAGAAGCAGTCTTTAGGTAATATTTTGTGTATCTCGATTGGTATATAGGGGACAGTGTGGTGATTCTAATTAAGGTTTTGAATTTGAAAGCATTGTAACATAGTATGGTATATATTTTGCTCTGTGGGTACCCTCTTTTAAAATTCATATTTCATTTTGTTGGTTTTAAAATAAGAATTTCACTTGTTTTTCTTAATAAATGATCAATTCACCACTAGTGGTAGCACATACAAATTCACTTTAGTTATCTCTGTATTAATCTTAAGAACCTCTATTGTGACAGAAACTAAGTGCTATTGTATTTGTGGATATGTAACCTAACTTGGCTAATATTGTCATCATCTCTACTTACCACTTGTTTCTATTACCATTCTATGTTCCACTTAAAACATATTCTTATTTCATGCTATGTCCTACAGCTGTTTTCTTAGCTTCCTGTCCCAACACTCCAGAATTATGTGACATAATCATTTGGTTTTCATCTCCCCTTTGGAAAGTTGGCACTGATTCTCAAGCAGTGGTGGTGAATTTTGGCACACGTGCCACAGCAGTCTGTTCGTATCATTGACAGCTTTAAGAAGATTCACTGTCACCACTCTAGAGTGTCTCATTACTCAGTATCATTCATCATTATTTTGTTTGTACTTTAATTCCAAATTATATGTAATCTTCCCCTAGACATCTACAAAGGATTATCTCATTTAAATAACTGCCATTCAAGAATTTCCTTTGATTTTGTTGTACCACCATACATAAGTGGTCTGTTTAGGATTTCAGAATATTTTCATTTTACAGTGATTTTTCTGTGATGGTATCTATCCTGTATTGAAAATACTTCCACATTCTCTTTTTTTCCTGTAGTTCATATCACATATATCTTTCTTATACTCCAAATGCAGGTTGGATTTATTGTCTTTGGTATCATGTACAAAACATATATTCCTTCATAATTGTTTCCTCAGAATATAGTGAAATAACCTTTGTTAATCAGGATTGTTAAAAACATTTTCTGTGTATTTATCCAGGTAGCATGGATCAGATAGCATGTGTTGTTATCTTTGTATCTTTTAAGATAAAAATAGTATTGTATACATTATAAACATTTAGTAAATAATTACTGGAATTTTGTTGGGTCTTTTTTTGACTGGAGGGATCTTTGGATAACAGAAGGTAATGTTGAGCAAACTGGAAAACAAGAAGTCATACTCATTTACACTATTGATTTGGTTATTTAATGCTGATTTGGGCTAATTTGTGAACTTAGTTTATTTTCCCCATGATTATATAATAATAGAGTTTTTGGTCTTAATTTTATTTCTTCTGTATGTCTTGGTTTTTTGAGTTTCATAGGGCACAAGAGTTGAAGTTTCATCATGATTGTTGCCAATTTTTTCCTGAGATATTTAAATCCTTTCAATGTATCTTTATAGCACTTGATATATATAGTTCTATTATAAAATTTATTATTTTCTCATCATTAACTGTTTATCTATTTCCCTTGGTAGACTGTGAGCTCCAGGTGGGCAGGAATCATGTTATACTTTTACTCCCGCCTTTCCTACCTTCCTTCTCCCTCTGTCTTTTTGTTTTTGTTCTTTTTTCTTTTTCTTTTCTCTTTCCTTTTCTTTTTTCTTCCTTTTTTTCTTCTTTCTTCCATAAGACCCAATATAAATTTGTCCGTTTAGGCACTATATAAATGAATGATTGAATGCATGCTTAATACACATTAGGAACTGAGTGATTGATGGATAAATTTAGCATTATATGGAATGAAAAATATATACATATATTCTGAAAATGTTATTTTTTGTTCTCTTATTTATTACTTTGCATCCAGTCTACTTTCAGAAGGGATTTGAGGTATCTTATATGTTCCCATGTGGAAAGTTCTCATTAAACCTTGTATGTGGGATATCAGGACTATCAAGCTAAATGTATCAAAGTAATGTAGAATAAACATATTTCCTTACAAGGGAACATTGGATTTTTGACATCATTGATGACATGATCAATGCCTAATCATTCTCCCTGATCTTTAATTCCATCATTTTCCATTATACTTGAATAAAGAGAGCCACATAATACCTGCTTAAATACTAATAGTCATCATTGGTTCAGATCTTGACTTTGTTTTATATTTCTCTAGTCGGCGTGGTACAAGCCTAATGGAAGATGATGAAGAGCCAATTGTTGAAGACGTTATGATGTCCTCAGAAGGAAGGATTGAGGATCTTAATGAGGGAATGGATTTTGACACAATGGATATAGACTTGGTAAGAAAGTTAAAGAAGTAAGACTTTTAATTTGGTCTTTTGGAAATAAAGTTGGATATTTATTAGAGAAATACTTGCTACGAAAAGTATTTTGTGCCAAAAATGTTAAGCAAGTTGCTAGAGGGTTGGGTATATGAGATGGGACTGAGCAGTGAATAAGGTTGGTGAGGGTGGTAGATCTTAATTTAAGATGATAAAAGTTGTTCATTGAAGCCAGGTGTAGTGGCACACACCTGCAGTCTCCATACTTGGAAGTCTGAGGCAGAAGAATCACTGCGTGTGTTTAAGGCCAGTCTGAACTACATAGTAAGACCCTGTGTCTCAAAAACAAGGGCAAAAAATCAGTTGCCTTTGAAATAATTTAGAAATAGAATTAAAGGATATACATTGCTTATCTCAATTTGTTTTCAGAAATCAAATTATATTAATGATTACATATTAAGTCTTTTAAAAAATATTTTGAGTGAATATGCTAAATAACATGGCACCTTATAAATTTCCATTTACTTGCCATTATCCAAATGACATTATTTACATGGTGTCATCCTGTTACTGAGACAAATTTCCATGCCAGAAAATGAAGCAAAATTACTTACATAGAAATGAAATATATATGTATATGGACATCTCTTAATAATTGTAAATTATGATTAGGGCTTAGAGCATACAAACTATACCTACATGTTTTACTTTGCCAATTATCTCAGTCAACTTTGTAAGTTAGATTGAGAGGACCTGAGAATAGTTGTGCTTACACAGTTCATAAAACAAAAGTTGAGACTTATTGTTCATTAAGTCTGTGCCTTTATTTTATTTTATTTTTTTATTTTATTTCAAGACAAGGCCTTGCTATGTCATTCAGACTGGGCTTAAACTCACTTTGTAGTCCAGGCTGGCCTCAGAATTTATGGTGATCTTCCTGCCTCCTCCTCCTGAGTACTGCTATTATAGGTGTGCCACCACCATTCACAGTTTTGTGATTCTTCTTTTTAGTACACCATAGTGTATTCTCTTTAAAAGAAAGAAGTAATCAGATACAGCTTCTCTTTAGTTTGGTGTCTTTCAAGGAAAATTATTTGGCAAAAGGGACTTTTAAAAGAAAAATTAAAATAAAGTTCCTAGATTTTTGTGTTTCAGAATAATTTTCTACAAAGGAATGTTTTTGGACTTTTAAACATTGTGTAGTTTGAGTACACCGTATTTGGAATATTGTATACTTACAGTCATGTAGCCCATGTAAATATCTAATGATAATACAGATATTTTCAGTTACTCTTTTGGTTGTAGTTAGAGCAAATATCAACTTACTTTTTTTTTCCTTAGCCACCATCAAAGAACAGACGAGAGAGAACAGAACTGAAGCCTGATTTCTTTGATCCAGCTTCAATTATGGATGAATCAGTAGGTTTAATTTAAATGTACCCCAAGACTGCCAAATCAAAAGTGTAGATAATCCCCAAGTTTAAGGGCGAAGAGCTGGGGCAACATACTGAGAATTGATGAAAATTATTGGACCTAAGAAAAAAGAGGTTGGCAGGCAGGATTTCAGTGGGAGAGGAGGGCCAGTGCAGCAGTGGTAACAGACGGAAAAGTACCTTTGAATCCTTAGCCAACTGGGACTTGAATGTTGAGGAATTTAGAAGTTTCCTGTAGGTTTAGATTTGAATTGTATTTCAGAAAAATTTCTTTGGGATTTATGGGTAGGTAAAATGAACGGAAAAATAAAAGCAGTAGGAATTTGCATAATGTTTTTGATAATACAGAGATCCATTGAGATATCTAGGATGACAAGTCTGTTACTCCCTTCCCCCCACCCTTGTTTATTACTGAGGCTTTTAAGTTCTTTTTCTTAAGTACTTCTGTACTGTGTCTTCTCTGATAGTGCTGTGCTTCAGTTATGTGACTGTTGCAGAGCCTTTTAACTGATCTTGTTGCCCTAGCCTTTATATCTTTATATCTTCTGTGGTATTATCTTTCTAAAATGTACATCTGGTCTTTTCACTTAAAGTATAAGTTGTTTTTTCCTTGTCACCATTAAGAAAAACTTCTTAATCCTTAACCTGGCATACAAAGTCTTTAGTAACCTAGCTCCTTACTACCTTAACTTTGTGCTTTTCCTTACATGTATCCTGTGTTCTGGCCACATAAAGTGTTAGAATTTCTCTCCAGTGTGCTACATTCTTTGGTGATTCCGTGCCTTTGTATATGTTTTTTTTTCTCTGCCAGAAATATTCATTGCTTTTTCTTGCTAGTTTATTCTTTCTTCGATACTCAATTTTAACATTATCTGTGACATTTTTTCTGACCTCTCCAGATATTTTATTTTCTGCTCCTTTCAACACTGGCTATGGAGTTTCATTATGGTAATTACCAGACTGGTGTGGTGAGATAGGTTATTACATATCTTGGTCTCTCAATAGACTGAGCTTCATAAAGCAGTGCACATAGTAGGTAGTTTTGTCAAATGAGTGAGTCCTTTAAATGCCCTTCATTTTATTTTTTAGTGTCCTGCTTATTATAATCTTTCTTCCTAAAACTCAGTACTTCTGATGACTATTGTACCATCCTGTGAGGCAATATTTCCTCTTGACTAGTCCCAACCTCATAATCTGCTTTCAGATAGCTTTTGAAAATAATTTTACTCAACTAGTTTACACTAACACATTATATTTAATAAGGTCAGTTATTTGGCCTAAAACTCAGAATATTATAGAGCAGGTGGTATGGAAATCTTTAAGTAGACCATGTTAGGATATTTTAAATAAATATTTCTCAATATCTAATGTGCCTTTGAATCATCTGGAAATCTTATTAAAGTGTAAGTAGATTCAGTTTTAGTAGATCTAGATCATGACCTAGAATTTTGCACCTTAACTTGTTTTTACATCTATAAACTATTCTTTGAGTTTGAGTATGAAACATTTAATACACATGCAACCTGTCTTACCCAGAAGTGAATAGTAAAGTAAGTGGTTTTCTGGATAATCTAGTAAAGTAGTAAAATACATCTTAATAAAACATGAAGGTGTAGCAATTATGAAGGGTAAAGGAGAATCTTTTCAAACAGGTATGATTAAATACATTAATTCAGCAGTTCATCAAGCTGAAAGTTGGTGCTAAAATGAATAAGACACTCTCTCTGTCTCTAAGGATTGAATATTGTAATATACCTTGTCTGTTACTTTAAAATGAAAAGTACAAAACCTAGTATTTGAGAGCTTATATGCCTGCCACTATATGAATCATAATTTATTTGTGAGAGTATTAATTTAATGGCTGTTACTTTTGATTTCATAATCTTTTGTCTCTACTATTTACGCTTACGAAAAGTAAAAGAATTCATTTATATGAAAACATCAAGTAATTAGAAAATTAAAATGATTAATTAAAGTCTAAATTGATATAAGCAGTGAGAAATCTCCATATTTTTATGTATTTATTTATCAGCAGGACTTTAAACATGTTTGTTTAGTCACTAGATTTGCAAAAAGGTATTCTTCAGATAGTGAGAATAATGAAATAGCAATATAAACTTTTTCACATTAAGCATTTAGAGAAAACCATAATCTGAGGCTAAAAAACAGGAACCTAATATCATCATTTACAGCAACTTTATGATTTTCTCATATATATTACTTTATTATAGCTGAGAATCATTTTTTAAATTTGATAATAGTTTAGCTGCCACTGTGACTAAAATAAAATGAGCATTGTACTAATAGTTGTAGTTTTACAGAATTCCACATGATGGCAGCAGTCACATAATGAGTGATCAGTAATTTTTAAAAGTTTTGGGTCCGTAACTGTATTTTTTTTTAAGTTCATCTCAGGTTTTTTTTAAAGCATGAATACCCCATAATGTCTTGATCATAACTTAAGAATGGAGTGAAGAAAAATTTACAATATAAAAATACATTTTCTATAATATAATAAATATAATTTATATTGTGAGTCATTAAAATAGAAAAGTTGAATTTAAATCCTTTAATGCCCAGTTCTAAGATTCTCTGATTCTAGGTGTCTTAAAGCACCTTGCTGTAGATACATCAGTATCTGAATAAATCCTAAGTATATCTTTTGTAACATGATTTTCACATTATCCAGGAGTAGCAATATAAAAACTCTTGAGTATATAATTTTGGGGCTACATATACATGGGAGTCTAGATTTGTAGTATAGTTGATTTTACATATGAAAACAAAATTGATTTCTCCCATTGTGATAATTGCTGTTTTCTGCCAGTATTTGTACATTTAAGTATATGCTTAAGTGTTTATTAATGTTAACATCATAAGCAGGTACAGTTTATTCAAACAGAAAAGAGAGTCAGTAATGCTACTGCCGTGTTTATTAATGTTAGCATCAGAAACAGGTACAGTTGTGTTCAAACAGTAAAGAGAATGTCACTAATGTTACTTCCATGTTGAGATTCTCTTATTAGACCTACATGTAGTATAGAATTGGTAAAGCCTCATTATACGGAGCTAATTTAATGTTCTAGCAGGAGAATCTAGTTATAACTAGCCTATATAAAATGACAAAGGGAATTTCAGGAATTCTGCAAAGAGCTTCATTCATCTTTATACCATACTACACCAAGAACTCACTAATTTAAAATTTTATTCTTTCACTAAACTTCAGACTTTTCCTTGCCCAGAGTCATAGTGTTTTGGCTACAAGACACTGTTAAAAATCATATAGGTCTTTTTCATGGAAACATCCAAACCATTAAAACTCTTGATTTTAACCAAAAGAGAAGAAACTTTTTGAAGGGGGCGGGGGGAGAGAAGGACAAGGGATATGTAGTACGGTAGTTATATAGTTAATGGAGGGTAAGATACAGTTAATGGAGGAGTAATAAGTGGAATGAATGAATCTTTAGTTTTCATCACTGGGGATCCAAACAACTTAAATTGATAAATCATTACAAAGAGGCTACATTCAAGTAGTTACTTGTTTTCCTGGTCTGAAAATGCATAATTCCTTCAAATCAAAGCAGGTAAAGTTCTGGCTTTAAGTGAGATTTTTCTTACGGATAAGTGATCTTGTGATCTCAATCTCAGCTCATTTCTGCTGGATTAGACAGCAATTTTTTACCTCCTTATTATAGTATTCTAAAATATTTAATTGGCATAAGTGTTAAAATTTTAATTGAAGCGCTTCACTTAGTATATATGCTAAAAGTAATATGCCTCTCTGATTTAATGAACAAGGTGGAGTCCATCCATTATATGCTAATACTTTTTAGTAACAAGTAATTATTAGAATTTACCTAACATTCTTTACTTACTGGAATGTATAGAAAAGTATCAATGCTGTGTAAGTCATATTTTACCCTTTTGCCTTATTTGATTTCTCAAAATTTATAGTTGTTACTCATTAACTCAGTTTTCTAAAAAAAAACTTCCTATTGTCTATATGCTTATGGTGTTCTTTGATTTTTTTTCTGCATGTTAAAATACTTTAAAAAAATGGTACCTTCGGAGTGAAATGGATATTTCTAAAAGACTTTGTTAACTTCTTTCGAATGAACTTATGCCAGAAATTTTTGTCAAGAAGCATGTTTGTTTGTTCATTCCATAAATGTTGAGAGCCTATCTATGTTTAGGATATTAGGGGTATATATAAACATAAGTAAGCCAAAGTTCTTACTCTTAATATTTATGAGGTAATTGGCATTTTGATTGGTCCTGATGTTACTTCAGTAATGGTCACTTTAATTTTGGAATTCCTTACCTGAAGAGAAAGGAACATTTTCAATGTTTTTTTTTATTAGGATGTTATTTAACATAGTATTAGTAAAGTACTAATATAATATTTACAGATATTTTATAAATAAATGAATGACTATTTTAACAACTTTTTTTTTCCTCTCTCATTAGGTTCTTGGGGTGTCAATGTTTTAATACCAGTACACAATTAAATCTGTGGTGAAGTCATTTTCTAAGTGGAAGAGGAAATTTTAAAATAAAGTGTGGTAGATACAGTGAAATTCTGTACAGATTTTTCTCTAAGGAGAATATGACATGCTTATGCTTACCAAGATCAAGTGCATTGAGGGGCAGTTTTGTTTGCCTGAAAAACATAAAGGACAAGTAAACAATTTGATGATAAGCTACAGTTTTTCTTAGAAAGTAAATATTTTATTTATGCGCTGTTAGTTGGCTTTTAAATCAATTATTTCATGCTTTTTTAAAAAAATAACTATTAACAATCTGAAGAGGCATTTGGTACAGATAAGAATCCTCTCACATTTATTTACTGGTTGTACTAAATAATGATGACCTCTGCTGGATTTCTGTTTACATCCAAGAAAAAAAGTAAGGATGAATTGTTCCCTGACCCTGAAATTGTAGGATAGAATGAATTGTTTTTAGCATTCTAAATTTAAATGCTTAAAA